GGGGGGGGGGGTGGGGGGTCTAAGTGCCCCCACCAAACACACTTTTCAGAAATGCTGCTCTGTCTCCCTCTCCGCTTTTCCGCCGTGTTCCCTCATCCGCCTTCTTCGCTTTCCCAGGATTCTCCATTTTCTTCCCTTTCCCAACTGTTTCGACACTTTTACGACGAGCACCTTCCTTCAGCTGTTTAGGACTACTGCCTTCATCATCATTCTTCTTTTCTAAACATTTTATATAATTTTTAGTTAACTATTTTGCTCCAAGGGGTAAATGTATTCGATTGTAAAGGAAAATTTACAGTTATAATTATTCTAAAAGATCAAGTTAAAGCAAACTTCCAAGCAGGGGCGTATACCAGGGGATGGGGGCTCCCCAGATAAACGAAACCATGGTTTCAGCCTCCATGGGAACTCTACCTCCTCGTTAGATAAAAAGTGTGTCAAAGTTCTGTATACACCCCTGCCCCAAACTCCTTGGTTCCCTCTATAATGTATGTTTTATGTTTTCAATATTTTCAACTGTACATTGTAATACTGAAGTCATAAGATTAAAATCAGGATCAGATGAAATCTTAAAAGTTTTGCAAATATTATCCAGCAATGAGGTCTTTTCTTTAAAAAACAAAAAAAGTTGAATTTTTTTAAAAAAGAAATGTCACTTGGAAAAAAATTTCACCTGAACTTTTCTTTTTCTTCTTCTTCCCTCCTTTCTTCGCTTTCTCTACAGCGACCGGACTCTCCTCTTTCTCCTTCTTCTTCTTCTCTTTCTTTGTCTTCTTAGTCTTCACCTTGGCGTCCTGGTCGTCTATCTTTCTCTTCTTGATCTGCTCTGAAGTAGGTTCCTGGTCGAAGATGAACTGATGATCTTCAGTGCTCGGAGATACCTCACGTTTTCTCTTCTTCTGCCGTACACTCCCTTTGAACTGCTCTGCTTCACGTTTAACCTAAAATATCACATCAAATAAAATCTTATCAAATAGGAAATCTTGTGTGGATATTGTTAATGTTAAACTTGAACGCTCGATCTCGATATCTAATGTGGACACTTTCAAATTTGAGTATCAAGGCTTAATACCTCAATTAAAGTTTTCCCTGCAGGGTTTAACAATACGGGAATGAATAGGAATTAAATTAATCCGTAGATCAATACTAGATCCCGAGATTCACAAAAATAAAGTTATAACTTCAGGTCAAATCAGTTTATGTTTATAGCATAAACTTCCTTATACGGATTAGAAAGACTTAATTAAGTTCGGGAACTAGAATACCATCTTCAGTAGTTATCTGTAAAAACTTACTCACTTACAAAGCTTATTTTTCGTGTTTACAATTTTAAGGGGGTGGTCGGAGGGTATTGAAATTATGGTACTTCTATGCAGGGTTAGAATTTTTGTTTTCACTTTTTTTTCAAATAAAGACTCAACAATACGCTGATTAAATTACGAAGACAAACAAATATCATTATTTTTTTTCTCTAAATTATAATAAATGAAATAATTTGAACCTGAGAAATTTCTGTTCTCATCCTTTGCTGTTTAACGGCCTTTTCATACGCTAATCTTTCACTCAGATGAACCCACTTAAACCTGAATATTAAATCAAATCAAATCATATTAGCAGGGATGGCTTATGGCTCCTAAATGTAGGTTTGGGTTTCAACATCCGGGTTTTTCAGCCCGATCTCTACCAATGTTATGATATGGTTTAATGAGAATTACATTTCTAGTCATATAAGAATTTCTGTTTTAAGTGAGAGAAAAACTGAATTTATGCTATGTTTAGTATTGCTTTAGCAAGTAAAGATCACACCACACGACCAAATTTGAGCGATGTTGACACTTTAGCATACCCACAGATTGTAAAAAAACTAAACATATAAGGGACAAAAAGTATTTCCCTGATAAAAGTACATTGGGTGGGTATTTCTCTAGTGGACTTAGATTTGATTTTATATCTTGCAAGGTCTACCGAGCATTATCTTTAATCTAGTTGATATCTAATTTATCCTGTTCTTTATATTATTCTATTAGATTACTGATTTACTGATCCATTATCTATTGAAAAAAAGGTAGAGATTTCCTCGCCAATACATATTTTATTAGTCCTTAACTGCTAAATTATGTAATCAAATTATAATTGTGGATAGACCATTAAATATTTCATTAGTCCTGAACTGCTAAATTATGCAATCAAATTATAATTGTGGATAGGCCATTAAATATTTCATTAGTCCTTAACTGCTAAATTATGTAATCAAATTATAATTGTGGATAGACCATTAAATATTTCATTAGTCCTGAACTGCTAAATTATGCAATCAAATTATAATTGTGGATAGGCCATTAAATATTTCATTAGTCCTTAACTGCTAAATATATGCAATAAAATTATAATTGTGGATAGACCAATAAATATTTCATTAAAAAGGATTTGGAATTTCTCTAAACATTTTGAAAACACCGCAAACGACTCAGAGCTTAACACCGATTTCAACTGTGGGCACTTTTGATTTTCTGCGTAATCATTTTTTTGGTAATCCAGACAGGATTCTGACTAATGAGAGTTATCTCATTGATTGCGCGCAAAAGTTCCTGGCTTCTGATTAGCTGGTCGGTTTCTACAAATTACACTCTGATTGGTTGCATTTTAGATACTTTCTTAGATATCAAAAACAGATAAATGAATCTGCAGATCAAATTTGATCTCGATATCCACAGTACATCGACAGTCTCGTTCAGAAAAAAGTAAAGTATTATAATATTTGCTTAGAAAAAATATATATATATATAAAACCCTGGTTTATGATATAATCCTACCTGGGAAGATATTTAATGTTCCAGAGAGTGCCGTGTGCTTTACTCTTCCTCTTTCCACCAACTAAAAATAGGTTGTTAAGAGATATTTTTCCTAACGTCATTTTCTTAAGTTAGTTTTCCTATATGACTTTTTCCATGTGGAAATCTTTACAGGCTTGTCCTCGGCCCCCTAAAGTTCTTTGTTAGAGTTATAAATTAACTATTGATTCATCTTCTTCTTTTTAAAGAAAAATTTACAACATTTAAAGGAAAAATATCAATATTAATTTCTTCTGCTAAATATCTTCACTACCTCGAATAGTGTTCATATGCTTCGCTACATGTTTACTCTACCTGGAGAATTATTATCTGTTCTGTTACACGTTTACTCTGCCTGGAGTATTATTCATCTGCTCTTTTATATGTTTATACTACCTGGAGGCTGGAGTGTTCATTAATCTAATCTCCTATATTTGTACTTTACCAGTTACCTGGAGTATTGTTTATCTGCTCTGCTACACGTTTAGCAATTTTTTTGCTTAGAAACTCGATCCAACCCTCAGTAAAATGTCTGCAAGTGAATTAAAGAAATAAAATTTTTTACCACAAAAGAAAGGACGAATGAAAAGACGAATGAAAGGATAAATGAAAAGACAAATGAAAAGACGAATGAAAGGATGAATGAAAAGACAAATGAAAAGACGAATGAAAAGACGAATGATAAGACGAATGATAAGACAAATGAAAAGACAAATGAAAAGACAAATGAAAGGATGAATGAAAAGACAAATGAAAAGACAAATGAAAAGACAAATGAAAGGATGAATGAAAAGACAAATGAAAAGACGAATGAAAGAATGAATGAAAAGACTAATGTAAGGACGAATGAAAGTATGAATGAAGAGACGAATGAAAGGATGAATGAAGAATGAATGAAATGATGAATGAATAGACTAATGTAAGGACGAATGAAAAGACGAACGAAAAGGCAAATGAAAGGATGAATGAAAAGACGCATGAAAGGATGAATGAAAAGACTAATGTAAGGACGAATGAAAAGATGAATGAAAAATGAATGAAATGGTGTACGAAAAGAAAATTAAGGTTTTAATGGCAGAGGAATGAACAGATGAATGAAATAGAACTGAAAGAATAAATGAAAGGATGTACGAATAAGAAAAAGGATAACTGAAAGGATGGTTTCAATTAGAATGTGAGAAGGAAAAAAATGCTGAATGTAAAGATGAATGAAAGAGAGAATGAAAAGAGGATTAAAAGAATTAATGAGTCTTGTTATCGAACTGTAGAAAAGAATAAATTTAAGTAAAATGAGGATTTCAAGATGATTAAATATATAAGAAAAAATTTACCTCATCCCTGTCTTGATGTCTGGCTGTAAGAACACTCTACCAACCCGACCAAATTCAGCAAAGAAAGCTGTTGTGCCACTCACATTCATTCCCTCAAATATTTTTTATTATTTTTCGTGCAAAAAAAAGAAAATTGTCAAAACAAAAAAAGCATAGTTTTAGGTTGGCGCACCACATTTCAGAAGATAATCATAAAAAAGAAAAGAAAAATGATCATGTTGATTCATGTTTCCGGTTTCATCTTAAATGACAGGAATAAAATGAAAGGTTTCTTCAAATGTGCGAGGTAAAACAATTAGAAATTTCAAAATTTATTGACATGTTTACAGAAAAACCTGCTTTCAAATCAACGCTTTAGGGAAGCTTCCATTTTCCAATCATCATATTAGAAGTTTAAATGAAAAATATTTTAAATTTTAGCATATATTTTACCTCTGGGACTGATGATAGATAAATTATTCCCGGTTTCCTTTTCTTCTCAGGTAGCTCCAAATCCTTAGTCAATCCATCAATCAATTTATCAATCAATCCATTCATCGATCAGTCAATATAGCAATAATCAATCTACAAAACAGTTTTGATCAATTGATAAATGAATACCTGAGATCTGTCCAGTTCTGATTCATCTCCGCTTGACAAACTGATTCCTTCCTCTACACCCATTCTAGATCTGAACAATCAACAATAATTCACACCTGCACTAACAACTGTTTGTATAAACATTCATTCTTAAAGTGTCAAACAATTTACAACTCAGATCGCAATTAAATAACCATATATATTCAGTCACAAGAAACGCTGTGATCTGATGAGGTTAAAATTTCAATTACAATTGTTACAAGGAAACGGTTGTGAATTAGTGTTGGCAATTTTTACGAACAATAATCACTTTAGATTTCCACTCTCTTTTATAATTCTTCTAAATGTTACAATTATTTACACTTTATGGAAATCACAGGATATACGAGATAGATCTAGGGATATGCCATCATATCGAAAACATTTTTCAATTCACAGCATTTTAAAGTAAATTAGTCATAATAAACAAAAAATAAAGAAAATTACATTTGGTTTGGATTTAGTTTTATCAATTATTTTCAAAGAACAATAAATGAAATGTAATTATGATCAGAAAATATGTCAGGGGTGTATATTAGTTGTAAAGCTCCCCCCCCCCTCTTATTCAGAATCATATTTTTTCCCCAAATCCACAACTTAAAAAACAAGTAATTTTACAGGTTTCTAAAGCCCGTGCAAACTTCGAAGAAGAGCCCACCTTGCAAACAAAATTTTTGTATTTTATTTGTATAATGGAGCGTTTCGGTGCCCTTTTCTCTTCCCTTTTTCCTTCTTTCTTTATTTTACCCTCCAAACCAAGTAAAAGCTTATATTTTTGCTCCCCCCCGGGGGGGGGGGGGGCAAACAGAAAAATATACATCCCTGTAACATTTAAACCAAAATAACAAATTAATCTAAGATTAAACTGGTTCATAAACACTCTTAAATTAACAGGATTATAATAATTAAGGTACATTTGTAGATTTGGTTTTCATTCTTTTAGTAGACTCCTGAGCTTTAATTAAATTAAGCTTAAGTTCAAGGTCGCATTGAGGACCCAGTTTGATCAAGGACTCTCAATTTATGTTGACTGAAATAGACCTTAATATTCAATAATAACGTTGACGTTTGTATTTATATAATGATTTCGTTAATATTAGGTTTAACATCCATATCTTCTGTGTAGAGATGGACAACCCCTGCATCTGTATTAATAGTAAACAAAGGATTAGAGCTGGGTCGGGTAACTGGATTTTTTAACCCTGGCACCCTCATACCAGGAGGAATAGGCATGCGCATTCCCTTAGCTGACACTTTAGCCGGGGTCTTGCTCAAATTATCCGGGTGCACTTTCTTCATGTGCTTGTTTAAGTCGTAGTTGAACGCGTATTTCTCCGGGCAGTGTTTGCAATGGTAAGGGAAGGTGGTGGTGTGCACGGTCTTCATGTGTCGGTTTAGTCCCTCAGTGTGCTTAAAGAATCTGTTGCAAATCTCACATTGAGTTTTATCACTCGCTGTCCAAACATGCATTTTCAAAACATGCTTCCTGAAACAAAATATTGTTGTCAAGGCAATAATATTGGTAATTGGTAATTCATACATCTTGAAAATTTAACTTTTAACTTTAACTCAACATTTAAAATATTTACATATTATCAATTATTTAAGTGCAAACACACTGAATACAGTTGACCGAACGGCTGGACCAAATTGGCAGATTTTTTTCAAATGCAGTGTTTTTAAAATTGTGCAACGCCGGGTGGAACTCCAGCTAGTATATCATATTTTCAGAAATATAATAAAATACAAACAAGAATTTTCCAAAAAAAAACCTAAATTACGACATCTTCGAAGAATCTGAATTTGAGATAATTTTTTTGTCTGATTATTAAAGGGACATCGAACGTATTATTTCAAGTAATCCTCCTTTTTTAAAGAGTTACATATCCAATTCACAAAAATGATGGAGCTATCCCAAATTTTTTATCTGAAAATTTATTTTTAAAAGCAATAAAAAAGAACGATGTCTACAACATTGTAAAGCTTTAAATAAAGGGTGACTTGAGATCGCGTGTACAGTTCCTTTACCAAAAAAAGTATCTAATGAAAATAAATTTAGCGAAGAACCTTCTCTTCCTGCAATATTTACAAATTTTAAACTATAACTAACCTAAGGACATGTTTGTGTCTGAAGGATTTATCACATTGACCGCACTGATGAACTTTATTATCCTCCTGAAACATAGTTATTTAAAAATATGTCCAGACGAGAATCATTTTTGATAAAAATGTTTCTAATTAAGTTTTAATTGCAAATGCATAAAAACAAGATTGCCTAATGCACTGATGCATTCATGCCTGGTTGCATGATAACCTGAATTCACGAAATGAACGAATGAAAGAAAGGATGACAGAGATGATGATTTAATGACATTTTAACAGAGTCCCCCCCCCTCGTCCCATATCTTAAAAAATTCTAATAACTGCTTGAAAAAAGTCTTTTCCCGGTAAAAAGTCCAGAGTTTCTTGTATTGTAGAATTTTTTTTTTGTAAAAACTGCAGATTAATTTAATCTTTATTCGATATCCCGCGTGGAAATCGCACCCAGTCAGGGGTTAAATAGGGCTTTAATCAGTAGATGAATAACTAAGATAAAAATATTGAAAGATGCAGTATTCTTATAACCTAAAAGTTCAAAAAAAAGTGCCTACAATGGATATCGAGATCAAGCGATCGGGATGATAGCATCCAATACAATAGTTCCCTGGTTAGTGAAAGATATCTTTACCTCGCCAGTTTTGTTTACTTTCTTGTTTTTGCCAGGAGGTCCGGGGTCTTTAATCCTCCCCCGATCCGATTTCAATAATCCAGTTTCCTCATCCAATTCCCAGGACTGCTTAGTTCTATATCTTATCCTGGTTTTACCATTCTTATCTTTCTTCTCTTTTTTCTCTTTCTTCTTCGTCTTCTTCTCAGTCTCCTTTACCTCTTCCGAGTCTGATATTTCGTCTTCATCTTCTTCTTCCTCTTCTCTGATGGTTGGAAGAATTTCCTCCACAGCTTGTTGTTCCTCGGTCAGATTTTTAGGTTTAATCTTTTTCTTCAATCTCTTTTCCCGTCTTTGTTTACTTTTTTCTTTCGTCTTCTTTTCTTCTTCTTCGTCTCTATTCTCTTTTTCAGCAATATCATCATGCTCGTCGTCCTTTTCCTTCGCAGCTTTCTTTTTCTTTTTGATTGTTTCTTTCGATGTATTTTTTGGTCTTCCTCGTTTCTGAAACAGTATTTTTACAATTTATTTAAAGTTTGGAAATGAAATAAGTACTTCCGAAGCTTTATAGATATCCATTTCTTTTTATATTTTCACAAATGCCAAAAACATCAAACATTTTTTTATGGTTTCTGTGAAATAAGAAGACGAAAAGCCCAAAGATAAAAAAACACTAGTAAATTTATATTTGAAATTGTTATATCCCCAGAAATGGAAATTTAAGAATGAATAACGCCTGATTAGTGGTTAAATTATTTCGTCAGTAATTTTTAGGTTTTTCTAAAACTATGATGATTTAAATCAATCACAATTTAATCTTGTTAAGTAATTGAATCAGTTTAAATCCCGATTCAAATTAATCCACATGGATAAATATCTAACTCTTAAGAAGTTGGGAGATTTGATTAATAAAATTTTACTCCAAATCTGACAAAAAAATAATTCATACCTTTTCTTTCATTAATGGCGGAACAAAGTCTGGATCTTTATCTTTATCTAGTTCATCTCCAAATATCTCTTCCATCATTTCATCTTGAGCATCAAGGTCAGCTAGCTTCTTGTCTTGTGAAGGATTTAATGAATATGTCTCGGCAATTTCTAGATCTGTGGATAAGCCTTGATCCAGGATATCTGATACAATCGTCTCTTCTGCTAGTAAACTGTTGAGGTTGTTAACCTCGTCGGGATTCTTAAGTAAATTGGTTAAATTCTTGACTCCTGCCTCTAGATCTGCGTCATCTATATCTGGATCTATTTCTATTTTCAATGGTATATTGTTCATGAGTAGATCAAGGGTTGTATTCGGCTCAGATGCCAAAGCTTCAATCTTGTCGGAGATGTTCTCAGGACAACGTAAGGCTTGTGGCTTCAGATTCTTCTTTTTCTTTCCCGGATTTTCTTTCTGCGAACTAATAGAAAACTCATGTTTTGCTGAGTTTAATTGAGGGACTGTAAGTGAACCTCCAAGCAAAGATGGCAATATCCGATTCACAACGGGGTCCTTGAATTGGAATCTTTATCTGATCATTAAAATGTTATCGTTTTCCTTTGCGCATCGAACATTGATCTGCCAAAAATATTAATGTATTCAAAAACAAGTATGATCACTACATTAGATCCGCAATGATCACTGGGATCTATTGACACACCTAGAAGATACTATTCTACCATCAGTTCCTAAAAAAATCCTCTACATATTCCTAGATGGAACACTGAGGATTAACACTCAAGTATCAAGTAAGTAAGAAAGGATGACAGAGATGATGATTTCATGAAAGTAAATTAAGGGATGAATCAAAGAAAGAATTGTAAATGAAAAGTTATTATATGAAAGGATGACTAAATAAAAGAATGACCTAATGAAAGGATGAATAAATCGAAGGAAGAATAATGGAATGGAAAATTAACCGAAAAGATAAATCAACGAAAGGATGAATAAATGAAAGATGAATAAATGAAAGAATCAATAGATGAAAGGATGATTAAATGAGAGGATGACTAAATGAGAGGATGACTAAAGGAGAGGATGATTAAATAAGAGGATGATTAAATGAGAGAATAATTAAATGAGAGGGATAAAATGAGAGGATTATTAAATGAGAGGATGATTAGATGAGAGGATAATTAAATGAGAGGATGATTAAATGAGAGGATGATTAAATGAGAGGATGATTAAATGAGAGGATGAATAAATGAAAAGATGAATAAATGAAAAGAATGAATAAATGAAAGGATAATTTAATGAGAGGATGATTAAATGAGAGGATAATTAAATGAAAGAATGAGTGGAAGGATGATTAAGTGAAAGGATGAATAAAAAAAAGAATGAGTAAATGAAGGAAGGACGAGTAAATGAAAGAATGAAAGAATGATGAAATGAAAGAATGACTTAATGACTTTATAACTGCATGATTAAATGCTAAAATCAATAAATTATTAACCTCATGAACCAGCATGTGAAGCCTTAATCCTTTCTTTGTTCTGAGAACATCTCCGCATAGATCACACACAATTCCCCTTCAATAAATATCATCAAATATAAGTCTACCGGAGTGTGGTTCAAATGAATAAGACCCTCTGCATAAACGTAAAAAGCATAGTTTCTAGGGGTATTTCAAGGCTGAGCCCCCCTGGAAAGAAAACGTACCCCCCCCCGGGACAAATTCCTGTTAACACCCCGGACCCTCATAAATTCATGAATAGAATAATCCCAGAATAATTGACTTAAAATGTAAAAAAAAAAGTTCACTCACAAGTTTTCTGTATGTACAGCTTTCACGTGCATCTTCAAATACTTGTCCAGCACGAAGACCTTGTCACACAAAGTACATTTGTGTTCTGGTTTACGGAAGTGCATAACCTTCTCGTGGATCATTAGTCCATAGGCAGTTGAGATTATCTTCCCACAGTGGGTACATTGACTTGGCTTCTTCTAATTAGAAAATAAAATTAGAAAATGTTGGAAGTTTTTAATTAGCAAGAAGAGATTGAACTAGCTAGAAATAGTTTGGTTTCTAGTTCAACCACATAATCTTTAATGAAGACGATTTGTATACCCTACTTTATGAATATTTGAGGACAACAATTTATTTTTTGTTCTGAAGAAAGTAGTAGAAATAAATGAAGTGGTTAAACTGGCAACGAATAACTTGGTATCTAACTTATCTTTGCTTCAAGATGATGATTTAATGAAAGGATGACAGAAATGATGATTTAAATCAGATCAAGTTCTTGGCCAAATTTGTAGAGCGTTCCATTTCAAGGACAGAAATATATTCCTAAAACTGTACAAACAATATGTTCGTGTTCACATGGAATTTGCTGTATCAAGTTGGAGACCCTGGACCCAACAGGACAAAGACAAACTAGAAAATGTACAACGCAAGGCAGTAAGGATTATTTCAGGGCTTCAGGGCTCCACATATGAAGAAAAACTTGAAGAATTGGGACTACAAACTCAAGAAGCCAGACGTGAAAGATCTGCCAAAAATATTAATGTATTCAAAAACAAGTATGATCACTACATTAGATCCGCAATGATCACTGGGATCTATTGACACACCTAGAAGATACTATTCTACCATCAGTTCCTAAAAAAATCCTCTACATATTCCTAGATGGAACACTAAGGATCAACTCTCAANCCATTTACCCAGGTTCAGTTACTTTTTTAGGGAGCAGGACGGTCAAACGACTGGTCAGTGATTGAAACAAATAAAAAACAGTAAAAAACCTTTTTATTACTAAATAAGCTACAGATTTAAAATTAATTTACTTGGAAAGCCCTTGAAGGTGTCGCATGTTAATATTTGTCAAAAGTTGAAATAAGTATTTTTCCACATTTTTCTGACGTACGTTTTGAACTTCTTTTAAAGGCTTCCTTGTTTCCTAACCATTTGAGTAAAAAATCTAATTTTTGTTTAATGATCTGGCCTTGAACAGTTAGGTATATGTGTATCATACTCCCCTATCTCAACTCTTATGGAAAAAACACCCCTCCCCCCATCCCTAATCTACATTAGACAAAAATAGCCCGATCTGGAAGGAAAATAACCTTCGGAAATGTATATCTAGAAATGGATATAAGGTTTCTTTGTGGCATGTTTGTAATCAATATAATTAAGCTCTTCGCCCTATATTTAGATGTTAGCTATATCTGTTTTTAAAATTCAACGGGCAACGCCGGGCATTTCAGCTAGTCGGCGATAATCATAAGAATGAGTTTTATTTGCCTTGTATTGTTTCCAGAGGATATTTCCTGGGATCTTCTTTTTCTATATCTTCGTTTAAAATCAGTCTGTGTCGAGGATGTAATCATGGAGGTTGAGGGCGTTGAACGGAGTAGGGCGGAGATTGAAGAGGTATTTGTTAATGAGATCACAGGGAGGGATGGTTCCTGAAGGGAGGAGGTTTCTATCAAGGAAACAGTAGAGGAGTAGGGTTTATGGAGGACGGAGGTATTAGTAGAGGTTGAAGAAACGGTGGTTTGAGGTTGGGTTTTGGAGGGATTTAGCAAGGTTAAAGATAATTTCGAGGTTGGATTAGAGATCCAGGAGGATTGTGAATCCTCCATCCAGGTAGGGTCTACAACTATTGGTGTATTGTCCGTGAGGACCGGAGAAGGGTTTGTTACTTCAAGGTTGGAACCAGATCTGCAACAATTACATAAAATATAAGCAATTCCTAGCGCAATTGCCAGTTGTTAATATTTTTATGAAAAAATCATAACCACTTTTTTAAAATGATCTTATCCCCATCTACGTTAAAAAGTTATTTTGAGAGGTTAACCGTTGATTGATTTTAAGAATAAAATAAATTAACTATAAGACTGAATGAGAGAGTAAAAACTAAAGTCAATATCCCCCCCACTGCACTCTCATCAAATCGTCAAATAATATTTTTAACCACTCCCCCAGAGGAATAGCTGATAAAAATAGACTGCAATTAAATCATAACCTTGTTACTGTTAGTCCCTTTGTTACTGTTAGTCCCTTAAAAGAAAAAAGTCTTCACCTTTTCTTAAACCAATATTGTAGCTGTGAATCTATAAATCTTTACCTTTTCTTAAACCAATATTGTAGCTGTGAATGTATAAATCTCTACCTTTTCTTAAACCAATATTGTAGCTGTGAATGTATAAGTCTTTACCTTTCTTAAACCAATATTGTAGCTGTGAATGTATAAGTCTTTACCTTTTCTTAAACCAATATTGTAGTTGTGAATGTATAAAAATTTACCTTTTCTTAAACCAATATTCTAGTTGTGAATGTATAAATCTCTACCTTTTCTTAAACCAATATTGTAGTTGTGAATCTATAAATCTTTACCTTCTCTTAAACCAATATTGTAGCTGTGAATGTATACATCTTTACCTTTTCTTAAACCAATATTGTAGTTGTGAATGTATAAATCTCTACCTTTTCTTAAACCAATACTCTAGTTGTGAATCTATAAATCTTTACCTTTTCTTAAACCAATATTGTAGTTGTGAATGTATAAATATTTACCTTTTCTTAAACCAATATAGTAGCTGTGAATGTATAAATCTTTACCTTTTCTTAAACCAATATTGTAGTTGTGAATGTATAAATATTTACTTTTTCTTAAACCAATATAGTAGCTGTGAATGTATAAATCTTTACCTTTTCTTAAACCAATATTGTAGTTGTGAATGTATGCGTCTTTACCTTTTCTTAAACCAATATTGTAGCTGTGAATGTATAAATCTTTACCTTTTCTTAAACCAATATTGTAGCTGTGAAATGTGAATGTATAAATATTTACCTTTTCTTAAACCAATATTGTAGCTGTGAATGTATAAATATTTACCTTTTCTTAAACCAATATTGTAGTTGTGAATGTATATGGAAAGGTACAGACGAGTCGGAGCAAAGAGACTCCATCAGATCTCTAAACAGTTGTCAATATAAATTCAACATTTTTTTCGCAGATTTAACAAAAAAAATTTATTCGATAAAGTTATCACCCTCATAGTTCCCTGATTTTATACATCTATTACGATAATAATCACAAAAATAAATTATGTTTTTTACACCCAATATTTTTGATTTAATGAAAAAAAGAATTTCAACTAGGTCCGCCTATTTCTATTTCCTGTATTTCATTAATTGAAATCAATAAGTTCTTGAATTTGAATGATCCGCTCAGATCAATTTTATTCCATGAACTCTAAAGCTGTGTTAATAACTAGCTTAGAAACCCAGCTTTGCCTGGAAGCTTAACTCTCCCTATATACGTTAAGCCACTTAACTGGAATCTTTTAACCATGGTTCTACAGAGTTCTCAAATCAGGGGCCCATCAATTATGATCGGACATCCATCCCAACAAACAAACAAAGATTACTACTTTATATATTATATATTGTAGATAATTGTACCTGTAGGCTTGAATTGTAGTATCTGGAATAATAATTCTATCCACATCCTCCCCAACTCCATATTCACTGAATTAAAGTTATTTTTTAAAATCTTAAATTATTTATTAAAAGAGAAAAAAATTACCCCTTGTGGGTGTGTGTAAAAACTTTTTGCAATATGTAGATTTTAGTTTAGACTTTTCAGCGTCCGTCTTCGAGACACTATTGAAGAAAATAAATAATTTGAGAATAATAAAATCTTTGATTATAACAAGGACAACCGGGGAGACCCTTCCAATCATATTCATACTAGGGGTTCGTTTTATAATCTAATATAACAGTGACTTGTCAAACTAACCAAATGATGTTAAATAAGTATCGGCTAGTATCCAGTACCCCATCCAGCAATTCTATTTGTATATCCTAGATAAATAAATCATATTAAAAGATAATAAAAATGCCGTGATCAAGTATTGATTGGATATCAATGTTTATAATTTTGAAAACTAATCAATTTCAACTATGGTTTCTCTTCAAATTGACTAGCGTATATCTACTACTAGAAAACACAGGAATTGTCCCAAGTAAAATCTGTTAAACCTAGAATCACGACAATATCTTCCTTTAATCCACAATGTTGATAAAAGCTATCGGGAATATTTGAATGGCGGAGTAATTGAAATTTGCATTCCCTTTTCAGATATAAAAAATGCCTGTCTTCAATAGCGTAATCAGAGAACAAAAAAGCCTATTTTAAATCTTTAAAAACGGAGGGAAAATCAACATACTTTTAACAAAAGGATTTTCGACATGTTTCCCAAATTATTAAGACAACATCTTTTTGAAATGCTTGTTAATAATTAGGCTTTTGATGGATTTTAAAAGTGATGTAGTTGCAATTTTAGAACAATTTTTATCAAGATTTTTATTATAATTATTCAAGACTGTAAATTAATGATCTCAAAGGACAATTAAGAAATAAAACAACCCACCCGGGAAATAAATTGGTTAAGTTATAGGTTGGTTTTATTGGAGAGAGAAGAAAAATCTGAAATAATAATAATGAACCCATCTCAGTTTGGTATTACTTGCCTGAAAATCTGGGAGGAAAAATGATTGATAAATTTCCCCCCTATCATGTTTGGTCATTCGAAACCGTACCATTTTTCCTGAAAAATATAATCCTTGAATCTAGGATATGACTAAAAATGCCTATCTGTAGGAAGAGCACCCGCGGTGGTTTTGCGACTAGAAATTTTGGCACAATAAAATTTAAATTTCCGAACCACCCGCCGCGGGCACTTTGACCAAGTGGAGTCCGGGCCTGGCTCATAAATAAACAAGATTGATGTACTGCCGGGCCCAGGACTCGCAACTTAATTTGCTTTTTCAACTGTTAACAAGAGTAATAAATTTTCTCAACTCCCTAAACTCTACAATGCTGATCACCGAGAATTTAGGCTGGTTCCACAACCATGGAGTTAAACACGTATATTTGAACTATAGAAACTAATAATCTACTACGGAAACCTTTCAACTCCGAAAACCGGTTCTTAAATCAACAACAAAAATCATACTGGCAAAATAAATCTCCTTTCGGCGTACTCTGGCTCTTGAAACTAACGAACTCTAGAGCTACGGTCAGAGCACGTCGGAAAGTTACAAATTTCCCGGTCGTTGCGAGCGTTAATCCGGTTTTCAGGGTTTAAAGTTCAGGTCACTAATTCAAGACCCACAGCGATGGTTTAGAGAATTTGGAGGCGGGAGTCTCTAGCTGACTGATCTCGGATAGGAGCCTCTGGTTAACTATGACTGGACTGAGGCCTGATCGAGGGTTGAGCTCAGCTCTTCAATGTCCTTGCTCAGCTCGACCTCACTAAAAAGAAATAATAATTATCAAATGAATTCATGTATTCAATGAAAAATGTCTAATGTTAAGAAGAAACCCTAGGAAATCAGAAAGGGATTGTAACTTGTAAGAAAAAAGGAAGAGTCGTGCAGTAAAATGGATTTTTTTTACAATTAATCTTTTTTTATAAACATAATTAAGATTATGTTATTTTTATGCAATATGCCAGCTTTAATAATCCAATCATTTTCAGGAATATGTTTATTGCTATCAAAGCTAACACAGAAAATAAGAAATTTAATTTTGTGAGCGTTACAAATTAAAAAGGGAGTTTGTATAAAAACAAGATTTATAAAACTATGAATAAGAGTTAAAAGGTTTTACTTCTGCACTGTATGTGCATTGATAGCGCATATTCAAAGTTCTGAGCTGAGGTAAAACTAAATCATACCTTTCTATTTTCTTGGTTCCTGTTTGTCTCTGCTCATAATCCTTCTTAAAGTTTTCTATGTCCTGCCATAAAATAATTGGTTAGAAATTCAATCCGATAAACCAGTGGTATAACTAAGCCATAGAATAAAGCCAAAAATGAAAAGCAATGATAATTAATTTTTTCCCACCTACTTAACTAGTGTGATCCAATTGTTATCAGTTGACTATAAACAAGTTAGCTCAGGTAAATATAGTTTTAATTAACTTTAAAATAAACGACAAGGAATAGATGATAAAAAAAAATGGTGGAATGACGGGATTTATATTTAAACAAAGATAATGGATGGAGAAAAGGAAAATGGATTATCAATGAAAGATTTTAGCCAAGAAAAATAAGATAAATGAATGAGTAAACAATAAAATGATGAATGATAAATAAATGAGAGGATGAATGAATGGGTGAAAGGAAGGATGAATGAATGAATGAATGAATGGGTGAAATGAAGAAAGGATGAAAGGATGATTGAATGAATGACTGACTGACTGACTGACTGACTACCTGCTGTGAGATCTGAACGAAGAGTATTCCATTGATAATATTGAGCATATCTAGAACTGATCCCATGCTGGGGGGCTGGATCTGGATTGGTGGAAGCCCCGTCTTACTCTTACCCTGAAGTAAATTTAAATTATTTACAACTATTTTACAGGGAAGTTCAAGGAATTTTACTTTACAATGAGTTCCCAAGTCCAATTTTGTCTTCAAAACATCCAGAGCGCAAGGAGGGATGTTCTGTAGACAAATTTGTTGAGGGAACCCGTGTTGTAAAATTTTTTATTTCCGAGCAGTTTTAAGATGTTAATGCGCAATTTTTTCGCAGAGTGGGTGATTATTTTACTTTTTTCCCCAAGGGACGTTATATTACAAAGCATTCTTCTTAAATTACCGACCTATGGGAATCATAGGTCGGTAATTTTGGTCAAAGGGCGGTAAAATAAATAAATTTATAAAATTAAATTGAAAAATTCATATCAAAATGAGCACAATAAATAAATAAATAAAGTAAACATGCTTTCAGGAAAACTGATACATCTCTTCACCCCCTTAGATGTTAACCTCTCTAATATAAGGACAACCCGTTTTTTGGTAAATAAACGAATCAGATCTTTTATTATAAAAATACAACATTAATCCTACTTTCTTTTAAGTTTTAAACCCTTGATCCAGAGCAGTGGGTGTGTATACTGAATACAGAAATTGGGTTAGGTATGTTATTTTAGTCTTTTTTAAGGGTTTACTGCTGAATTAAGGAAAAAAAAGAAATGTTTGGGTAATAGTCTGAAAAAGGATGAAAAACTTGTCATTTGATGTCTAATTCCCCCAGAGCTTCAAAAATGCTTAAAAATATAAACCCCTGCCTTGTCTGTGAAAATGTTTCGAGTATGTAACCTGATATATTTCGTTCATCTTCTTCTGTAGAACAACCGCCTGCTGGGTCAGATGTCTCAAGCACTCACCTTTAACAATTTTATAATTATAAATATATTAATTTTAAATATTATAAAATTACATCATGTTAAACAAAAATTTCGAGAGTTCACTTTCAGTTTGAAGTTTAAACCCTATTTCGCAGATTTTTTATTACAATTTAAAGGTTTAATGGCGTACAAGTGAAAAGCAATTAGCATGTGTCAGACAGTCAATCCATCCATCAATCAATCAATCCACCAATCCATCCATCAATCAATCCACCAATCCATGCATCAATCCATCAATCCATTAATCCATCAATCAATCAATCCACCAATCCATCCTTCCACCAATCTATCCATCAATCCATCAATCCAGCAATCAACCAATCAATCAATAAATCAATCAGTCAATTAATCAATAAATCAATAAGGGGGTTACTGGATTCCTTTAACTTGTCATAAAACTTTAGGTTCAATGGCGTACAACTGGAAAACAATCATCGCTGTCAATAAATCAACTTGTAAATATGGTTTACCGGATTCCTTTGTCTTCTCATGCTCATCTCCCAACTGGGTTTTGTAGATTGTGAAAGTCTCCTTCTCATTCGTTAATGCAGATCTGACAAGAAAAATATTATCAAACCTGAGTACTTTATTTTTAAACAGAAAATAGTAAATAATAGTAAAGTCAATAGAAAACAGTATTTATAACATGTCTGAAGTAATTTTGAGGAACCATCCATTTACTTCACTTGACCGGTACATTTTAACATTTTCACCAAAAATAATTGTGATATCCTTGTTATTCTTTCTTAAAATTTATGATTTTCAATTGCGAGTTTTCTCTGTAAGTTTAAGGGAAATGAAAGTGAATGGACAGAATAAGTCAAATTTCAAGAACAAAATAAATATGTTCCAGGGCAACGATGTGAACGAGGAACGTGACCCTTCAAATGGAGAGTCACTTGAAATTACGTCGACAGTCCCTTAAATATCGATTTCGCAACGATAATTGCGTATAAAGGTGGATTAAGAAAAGTAGTGATTAGGATCCGGATCCGTTGGATCTGCAAGATTTCGGCTTCCTGGATCATAATCCGCAAAAATATGCGGATCAACTGATCCGGATCCAAGGGGCAAAATATCAACCAAAAACTGCAAAAGCAAAAAAATTTACTCTCAAAACCCAAATCTGAACTAAGAGAGATTATGAAAAATATTCTGATTTCTGAATGGTTCATCACAAAAAAAGCGAAAAAATAAGACAAAAAAATTGAAAATTCTGCCTTACTAAAAAAATTCAGTAAATTTTAAAGAAATAACCTGTATCCGGATCCGGATCCATTTTTTCCAGTGCGGATCCAGGATCCGGATCCCCTTCAAAATTAAATGGATCCTAAGCACTGAAGAAAAGATTGAAAAAAATTTGGACCTGAAATCTCCCATGCAAGACTGTGTTCTAGCCACTAGATGGTAGCTGACCGCAACCTTTAAGCTCTTGGCCCCGTGATACTTCTGGTTCAAGGCAAGAGCCTTCTCCAGGAATCTAGAAAAAATTTGATTAGAACAGAAGGTACACATTTTTGATTATCGCTCAATAAAAAGCAATAAGGTTTTTAGGAGAAAACAAAAAATGATCGGGACACTAATTACTCCACAAGAGGGATGGTAATCAACACTCGGGACACTAATTACTCCACCAGAGGAATGTTAATTAATACTTAGAACAATGAGTTGCCCAAGATAGGGTTTTTTGCAGATCTCATCCTCGTATACATCGGAGGGATGGTAATTAACAAAAAGAACACTATTTACTCCATCGGAGGAATACTACTACATTTTGATTTACCTCAGTGAGATATCGTACTCCCCGACAGCATGAAGTATGAGCCCGATGTTGGAGTCGATGAGTGCAAGCTCAGGGTGGTTTTCTCCGCAGACGAGAAGGGCGAGGTATCTAGCCCGGTACAAGAGCTTCAACGCAGTGGATACCTAAATTCATATTTTTTCAGAAGAGACCGATTCAATTAACAAAAATCAGACAAGGTCCAATATCTGAACTGCATTTATACAAAAACAAGACAAACAAGATTAAAGGACAATAGTTTACATTCAAAATTAGGCTAAGTCATAAACTTTCTATTTATAATATAAATACAAACGTTTAAATATAATTTTGTGAGCGTTATATGATAAGTTTTGGCATACCTGCCTATTTTAAATGGATCCATTAAAAAATATCATGATAAAAAGCATGATTTTTTGTGTGTGAAAACGCCAAAAATCCTCGCGATTATTGCTACTTTTCATCTAAATTATTCTGTGCATTAGCAAAGCAGTCAATCTTTTCCCAGTGTACATGTGTATTGTGTAATACTAAAGTAGTACAATGCTAGATGTCTGTACTCTGGGAAGGTAGAGATGTACTTAACTATTTCCAGTGTACCTGTGAATTAGCAAAGTAGTACAATGCTAGATGTCTGTACTCTGGGAAGGTATAGAGATGTACTAAACTATTTCCAGTGTACTTGTGAATTAGAAAAGTAGTAAAATGCTAGATGTCTTTACTCTGTGATTGTATAGAGATGTACTAAACTATTCCCGGTGTACATGTGTTTTAGCAAAGTAGTACAATGCTACTTGTCTGTACTCTGTGAAGGTATAGAGAATAGAGATGTACTAAACTATTCCCAGTGTACCTGTGAATTAGCAAAGTAGTAAAATGCTAGATGTCTGTACTCTGTGATTGTGTAGAGATGTACTAAACTATTCCCAGTGTACCTGTGTGTTAGCAAAGCAGTACAATGCTAGGTGTGTGTACTCTGTGATTGTGTACGGATGTTCTAGACCATTAACACGTTCACTCATAAGAACAGCTTTCTGTTGACAGGATAGAGCTTCCACGTGATCTCCCATTATATAGTTCAACCTAAATACAAATCAAATTAAATCAAATCAAATCAAATAAAAAAAAATGAAATCAAATGAAATCAAATGAAATCAAATCAAGTGAAATCAAATGATATCAATTTAAATCGCTATGAATGGTCCAGTAGCTCCCTAGCTCAACCGAAGTAAGCCATCACGATCCCCACCAAACCCAGGGGTTTTAAGCTTGACGCAGACATTGTCTTTTGTATTTTTAACACAAACAGAAATGAAATGAACTCATTTAAAATTCCATTGGCGCATTGAGGGAAAACTGTTAAGACAAAGGAGGTTTTGTATTAGTACAGTTTAACCCAGAACTTAATTTTTTGTTCAAATACACACATTCTCTCCTCAGGGATGGGTACACCCACCTTAAATCATTTATATTATCAATAAAAGACAATGTATCCCTTTTGTCCACTTGGGCTTTATTAAATAGGGGGGGATTCTTAAAAACTATTAAATCCTTCTCAAACTTGTATCAAACGAACCTGGCAAGCATCCTAAGGCACTGAGCGATCTCTGGATGCATGGCTCCGTACACGTTGTTGAGTAGGTTCAAGGCCTCACTGATCAACTCGTATCCATCCTTGAGGAATCCCTGCTGGATCTTATTCTGACCTAAACAGTGCTCAACATAAAATACAGGAGTCGGAAAACAAGTTGAAGTAAGTCAATAAAAAGGAGTATATTTTATGATTTTTGATTACGCAACAGTAAATGTTCCCACAAACCCTATCATACAATATCTAACCTGTAGTATAGAAGTTGTATGCATCTGTAGCCCTAGGACTGATATGCTTGACAATAGGATACATATTCACTATATCCTCGTCTGTGAAGGTTTGCTGTTGTTTGTTCTCAAAATTGTATTCTCTACGGTTTAACAAACAAATAAATATCTCAGAAATATTAGTAGATTTTATAAAATAATTTTCAAAACTTAAGAGGGATTTCTGAATTATTTTTCTTTTTTAATAATTTCTTCCCAATAACTTAAATCATTGTCGCCAAAAGTTAGAATATAATCAATAAATTCCTCTTATTACCTTAGCGCGCGAAATATTTATGCGGATTAGTTAGTTAAAAACTATATCAAAAACCATGAAAAAAACATGATAGTGAATGATTTTTAATCTCTTTATAAAATGAAATGCTTTCAAACCATATAAAGTTATACAAGTGTAAATAAGCCGGAGTATATTGTTTCTCGAAAAACCAACTCCCTCCCTTCCTCTTGAAAAATAATCTTAAGTGCTATTTTGTGTCAATTGTATCAAAAAACGGGTCAAAACTAGCTACAGTGATAACAAGAAAACTCTAAAAAGGAGGACGACTTTTAAAATAAAGATATAACTTTAAAAAGCCCAATGAATATGAGACATAGTATTTGTGCAGTGTAAACAGACCCATTTAACTAAATTAGCGATTTAATAAGTGTCGAAGTAAAACTATTTGATTTGTAACAACATCAAATACACTTAGGTCTGGCTATAATGTCGTTTCCCTATTCCATTGTTTTCTGGTTATCACTGTAGTTAATGCAAAATCTATTTTTTCCCCCCAATTCATGAAATCTTTAAAATATATACCCCTGCTCGAAGCTTGAAATTCAACTAATTAATTTATTGTTTGTTGTTTCCTGAGAAGGATCTGGATTCCAGTTTTCATACTGAATGATCTTAGCACCATAACCTAGAACATAGCATATCAATCAATCAATCATGATACACCAGGGACCGGAATTAGGGAACTGGAAAGGTAGCTGAACTACTTAACGCTGGCTCAAATTCTGAATCACTGATTTAAAATTAAGATTCCTGAGGATTTGATTAGGTATTTAAAGAGTTTAACTGGCGCACCAGTAGGTAGTTCAGCAACCATTCTAATTTTATAGATTCGGTCTCAGGAACCAATTCATTTATTATTTTACAAGCAGCCTCCTGGAGGAATGTTAACAAATTCTAGAAAAAGAAGAAACTCAGGATGACTTCAATTTTTTGGATCTCTTATTGGCCAAGCGTAGATTCTTGGACAGGCCTTTAGATAGGTCTAGAAATAATATTTTAATCCGTGGAACTAGATATTAATCCGTAATGGTCGACAAACCTTGGTTATCTGAAGAGCTTCAACGAATGCCTCGCATGAGTCCTGCACCAACTCCCAATCAAAGTAGGCCTTACATTCCGTCCTGATCTGAGCCCATAGTAGCTTAGGGGTCAGCATTGCCCACTCTACGCTGTCTGAACATTTAATCCAGATAAATCAAGTTCAGCGAAATTTTAAAATGAAGAAAGTTAAATGTGAGTCACTATCTGAGTTTGTGTTTGTCTGGTCCTTATTTTGCTCTAATAAACGTCCAAACGGTTGAACGGAGTAGAATTATAAACAAGCAGGAAAACAGTGTCATCAAAAGAAATATTGGAAATCCATTGCACAGTAAAAATTTTAATTTGTATAATTAAGAAAACTGGTTGCATGTAAAGCATATCAAATTAGGAATACCAAACTCTATACATTTTATCTTTAAGTGAAAGCTTAAGATAATAAAGAGAGGGTGATTGATTGGTGCCTTTTTATTCTATCGTAAAATCAGCTTCCATCTTAATACGTTGAACCCAACTTAATCCTTGTAAAATATTGATTAATACCTGTTGGAGTGAGAGGAGACTGTTTAGCTTTGTTCCTGCTGCGGTTCCTTGATCTCTTTTTACTGTTCAGCTGATCAGGAACTGTTGTATTAGGAGCAGGACAGCTGCTCAGCAAACAGTTCAAGAAGTGGGAAACAGCACAAGCTAGACTCAGCATATCCAGACCCTGGAGATAAGCAGTGAATATATGTTTAGCAGCTCTCATCACCAACTCGGTAGCAGCAATAGTATACACATACTCCAGCTGAGGAACCTTCATCAGCATACCGGTAATCTTGCCCAGGTAGCGCATATTAATGCCGCGGTTATGAATAGCATCAGCTAGTGTTGCTCCGTCCATAGGAGCAGTACTGTGATCTAGACAATCTCGGATAAACGCCGGGATTTGAACTGTCAACAGGAAGTCAGCAGCATCCTTCACCAGCTGACACTGACGCTTGTAAGCGTCTCCGCTGACGTCAGGATGAACTACGCCGGGGGAGAATACGTCAGGGTTGAATCTAATGTCAAACTCTGTCTCCTTTAGGCTTCCGACTGCGGTAGCGGCTTTGCGTACAATCTCCTTGGTGGAGTCCTCCATATCCTGCTTCTCACCGCTGGTTATAGAGTCCGTCATGCTTTCAACAATCCTCTTTGCTTCGTCCTCCTCCATCTCTCCTTCCTTCTCCGCGTCCTTCTCTTTCTTTTCAATCATTGGAACTTCGGGAATATTTTTCCTGAAATGATAATTTTTTATCAACCAAGTTTGAGTTTAGAGATTCAAAGTAAATATAAAATTGCCTTGCGATATTTTGAGACAGGTGTGAAAAAAAACTAATTACGAGGAAGGTTGAATCACGATAGTTAACCGCTGCAGTTGAACGGCAGCACACTTGATGAACAATATATTACGAGAACTAACCAACTACCTGATAGTTAACTGCTGCAGATGAACAGCAGCACACTTGATGAACATCATATTACGAGAACTAACCAACTACCTGATAGTTAACTGCTGCAGTTGAACAGCAGCACACTTGATGAACATCATATTACGAGAACTAACCAACTACCTGATAATTAACTGCTGCAGTTGAACAGCAGCACACTTGATGAACATCATATTACGAGAACTAACCAACTACCTTATAGTTAACTGCTGCAGTTGAACAGCAGCACACTTGATGAACATCATGTAACGAGACTCTACAAACGCGTCGATCAGTTCCTGCCGAAGGCAAGATAGCTTGTGTCTGTGTTCAACAGGGAATCCTAGAATATTTATTGTTGGGTTCATTTTTCTGATTATTTATAAAATGTTAATCTTTCTTGTTCTTAATTCAATGTTCAATGTTCAGAATAAATGGCTAATAGTTGCATGTTCATTGTTCTTCATTGTTCAACATTATTGGTTATCGTTCTTCGTTCTTCGTTATTGTTCAATGTTTCTGTTTTTGCTCATCATAATTATTTCTCGTTCCTAGTTCATCATTTGTTTTACTTATTTTCTATTCGTTTTTCGCTAGTTTTTCTTTGTTTTTCAAAAATTATAGTTCATTGTTCATGAAAATATAACGATTACCTAGTGCAGTTGCCTCCTTAGAAAGATCAACCCCCTCGACCTTTAGGAAGTTAACATCAGGAGGGAAGGTTCTACAAAATATCAACAATTATTCTCAGACTGGCTAAAAAACTGGGCTCTAGAAATAAATATTTATAATGATAAAAATCCTAGAATTAATATTCACATAAATTTCAAATTTGTGATGTTGGTAAAATCACTTCATGTTTCTCTATTTTTCAGTAATCAATTGTCTTAGGGTATATGGTTATTCATGATCTCTTTAACCTCAGCGGCCTGGCTTCAACAACTGTCAAATAATTCTGTTTTATAAGTTTGTGGTCATAAAGAGGAATATTTCTGGGTTACATATTGTAGCAATACCCTCCCCACCCCCCTTAACAAAATCCCAGTTGCGCCAGTTTTAAGAATATCCTGATGTATTTTTAAGTTCGAGTTACCTGAGAAGATCAAGGATATAATGTCTGCCATCATTTCCAATTATTCCCTTGCACTCAACACTACTACACAGCTCAACCTCCTCAAGCTTCTCATTCACAACCTTTACACAATACATTAGAATCATTGTCATCCTTGTCATCTTTGTCATCCTTATCATCTTTGTCATCTTTATCATCTTCGTCATCCTTGCCATGATTGGCATGATTGCCCTGACTGTCGTCTTTGTCATGATTGACCTGATATAATTTCATGATTTTCTTGATTGTTTTCATCATTATTATCACCATTATCATCATTGTCAGCATTTTCTTACCATTATAAAATCAAGCTTTCATACTATCATCATGATCATCAAATCAAATGGAATAAAATCGCGTCTAATCATGTATATCTAATCAATTCAAATATTATTAAAATTTGAGTGATTTACCATCCGAAATAACTCCATATTTTACCTTATGGGGAAGGATCTTGAGTTGGTTTCCAGCTTTCTGAAGCAGATCCAGATACTTGGAGTGGGTTACAATAGTTTTACCAAAATCAATGGATCCATAAACAACACTTTGTTCCTGCTCCCTCTCCAGAATTCCTTGATAAATAATCATCATGTTATTATCCTTGAACAATAGATGGAAGTGAAAGAAAATGGAAATGCCGTACACCCATCTAGGTTTTAGAATTTTATAATTGATTTAAGCCTCCGAGATGAGTTAAAAACATACCTGGTATAATAGATTGCGCTGTGACCCTGTATCCCCTGTAGTCTAGGACAACTGTTCCCAGTGTGAATAATCCCTCCAGGTCTACAGCATTATACACCTTTACTCCTTGCAGATCATTCCTAGGGGCAACAAAAGCAGCGGCATCTCCTCCTAGATCCTGAACAAACATTGGTTGGGAGTAGATCTAGTTTAGGTTGGGAGTAGATCTAGTTTAGGTTGGGAGTAGATCTGGTTTATGTCGGGAGTAGATCTAATTTAGGTTGGTAGTAGATCTAGTTTAGGTTGGGAGTAGATCTAGTTTAGGTTTGGAGTAGATCTGGTTTTGGTTTGGAGTAGGGCTAGTTTAGGTTAGGAGTAGATTTATGTTAAGTTTGGAGTAAATATAGCTCAGTTGGGTGTAGATTTAGTTTAGGTTTGGAGTAGATCTACTTTGGGTTGGGAGCATAAATATATTTTAGATTGAGAGTAGATCTAGTTTAAGGTTGGAAGTAGATCTAGGTTAGGTTTGGAGTAGATCTAGTTAAGGTTGAGAGTAGATGTAGTTTAGGTTGGGAATAGATCTAGTTTAGGTTGAGAGTAAATCTAGTTTAGGTTGGGAGTAGATCCAGTTTAAGTTGGGGGTAGATCTAGTTTAGTTTTGGAGTAGATCTAGTTTAGGTTGGGAGTAGATCTAGTTTAGGTTGGGAGTAAATCTAGTTTAGGTTGGGAGTAAATCTACTTTAGGTTGGGAGTAGATCTAGCTCTAAAAACTTATTAATCTTAGAAAAATGACAGTTTTTACAATAATTACCTTGTAATGATCCTTGACATCAAAGCCCAGGCTAAAGAAAATATTATTCCAGATAAACATCTGCATCTTCGCCTCCTCACCTGGGTTTATTGCCATCACGTTACCTTAGTAATCAATGAATCAATGAATCAATCAATGAATCAATGAATCAATGAATCAATCACTCAATCAATTAATTGGAAAAATCAGTAAGTCAGTCCATACACAAAAAAAACAATTTATCAATTTATAAATTAAAATATTTGTAATTCCTACCGTCAATGACAGCCATAGCTCCACGAGTAGCAGCGGACACAAAGTCAGAATGAACCTGGAAATAGATAAATTATAAAAAATCCTGAAATTAAAAATGTTTAGTTTGATCAAATAATTACTGACCTTGAAGATTGCTCTTTCCCTGAGTAATCTCTCGGGTAGATTCTTCCTGGGCAGCTCTCTAGTAGTCTGCAGCTCCTCGTTCCAATCCCTAGGTTTACATTATTATAAATAAATAATATAATACAGGTATTTCCGACACTCACACGCCAAACTCGAAGTGACCATACTAGATCGTGAATGAAGTCAGGTTTTACGTGTTGTAATGGATGTAAATTGATACATATTTTATGCCGAAAATTTGATTTTAAGATTTATTCTCAAAGTCAAAAGTGTACACAAACCATATCCTCCCCTTAAGAAGTGTGAGTAGACAACCCCCCCCCTCCCCCCATAAGTATGATGGGAAATGAATTCGAAAAAGGAATATACTCCTGGACTAACATTTGCCCCCCCCCCCCAAGTATGATCATGGAAAATGAATTCGAAGAAACAATTTTCAAAATGCATTCTATTAGTGATAATTTTGCACTACAATATTAATAGTAAAAAATGGTGTCTTTTGTTATCGAATTTGGAAAGGAAAGGAATTGAGTCTTTGCCACAAACTCAAATTTTCTAATCAGTATATCTTCGCAAACTGAGGATGGAAACCTTTGATATTTCAGATTTAAATTATTTGATCTTACAGAATTCATATTTTGAAATATTTAAGGTCTATGCCATCGGGTTGCAAGGATATAGGGATTAGAAAATTCGAGTTTGTGGCAAAAACTCAATTCCTTTCACAAAATTTAGAAGGGGGTAAGAATCAAAAATGGGAAATAAATACACCCCTCCTGATAAAAACCCCTAGAAACCAGATTTAATAAAGTAGCTAAACGTCGGAAAAAAGGTTTAACAACTTCTCTAGTATACCGGGTCAAACTAAAAAGAAGTTCAACTTATTTTACTCGGTTCAAACTTATCTCTCAACTGATAAAATCTTGTTGCTGAACCCGTGATTTAAAAGCTTCGGCTAGAGCCTTGATTTCTTAGACCCAGGTTGAAGACTCAATCTTAGACCCAATTTATGAATATGCAGACGACTACAGCTTGTGTCACTGAATCCACCAATTCCAGCCATGAAAATCAGGAAAAGCAATATCAAATCGGTTAAATAAACCAAACTCCGTGGAAAATTAGTTGTAACTTAAACCTTAATCTTAAATGACAGCTTAGACCTGTGCCTTCTTTTCAAATTTGATAAATCTTGTTTCTGTTAATTTACCTGGTTTGTCCCGGGATATGCTCCTCGTAACCAAGCTTACTAGAGAATGCATCCTCAGCCCGGATAGTATCAATGTTATGCTCCAGCTGGGGGCCTAGATACATCAACATTGAACATAAATAAATAAATTTAAACTATAAATTAAAAGGGGATAGTGGAGATGTCCTATTTGAGGAGGGGGGGGGTGGGGGTGTCCAATGTCCATGCTCTAATTTTTGGTTAAAATCTTCAAATTTGTTGGCTGCACGCCTAATTTAAGTTTCTTTTCGTAAAAAATAAAATAAAATTGGACACTAATGACCTCTAATGACCAAAAAGAAAGGCAAGGATCCCCCTCCCTTCATCAAATATTAAACTGACCTCAAATATTTAAGAAACAAATGTCCAAATCATGTACCCCAATAAAAATTTTGGAGTCTTTAATGAGTAAATTTCAGAATTAAAAATCATCAAGGACGCTTAATATAGGAAACGCTTTCTGTTCTCAAAAAACCAATATTAATGTGTTTTGATATAAAAAAAACTATATTTTTATCGTTTCTGTTTTAGGTCGGACCCAGGTTCTTGATCCGCATCAAAATGAGATGGATCCTAATTGCTGATTCATAAGAATACCTATCCATGAATATATCTGGTAAGGAGTGGGAACCCTCTCGTATGGGTGTCTACTTGTTCTACGCTTCTGTAGAAGAGCGAAGTTTCTCTTAAAAGTTGTAGAAACCTAAAATAATAAATTATACGATAAGTAAACTTTAAGTATCTGAGAAAGAATAAAAAATTATTGTGTGAATAGATGGGGAAAGGTTCTTAATTTCACCCAGAAAACAGATTCTCACAACCATTAGAAAGCATTTTTTTCCAGGCACCGTTCCCAAACGGTGCCCTTTACACCTTGGCTTTGCCCTAGAAAGTTTATTGAAATTATCTTTTCAAGGCAGAAAATAACTAAATATTCCTCATTGATATTTAGGTAGTGAATCGGGCATGTAAAATAATGGATCTTATCTACCTGGTTTAACAACTCAATAAGAGAATGTGAGAGATAACTGGGATTCGCAGGTTTAGGATTGAATTCCTCTTCAGTAGAATGGTTGACATAGAATCCTCTTGTAGAGGCCGTTATATGGTAGTGCTTATCCTCCATAGTTACAACCTAGAATACAGGTATATGGTAGTGCTTATCCTCCATAGTTACAACCTAGAATACAGGTATATGGTAGTGCTTATCCTCCATAGTTACAACCTAGATTACAGGTATACGGTAGTACTTATCCTCCATAGTTACAACCTAGAATAAAGGTATATGGTAGTGCTTATCCTCCATAGGTACAACCTAGAATACAGGTATATGGTAGTATCCTCCATAGTTACAACCTAGAATACAGGTATATGGTAGTATTCTCCATAGTTACAACCTAGAATACAGGTATATGATAGTGCTTATCCTCCATAGTTACAACCTAGAATACAGGTATATGGTAGTATTCTCCATAGTTACAACCTAGAATACAGGTATATGATAGTGCTTATCCTCCATAGTTACAACCTAGAATACAGGTATATGGTAGTATCCTCCATAGTTACAACCTAGAATGAAGGTATATGGTAGTGATTATCCTCCATAGTTACAACCTAGATTACAGGTATATGGTAATGCTTATTCCTCCATAGTTACAACCTAGAATACAGGTATATGGTAATGCTTATCCTCCAGTACAGTACATTACCGAGTTCAGAACAGTACATTACCGGGTACAGTACAGTACAGTTCAGTACAGTACAGTTCAGTACAGTACAGTACAGTACAGTACAGTACAGTACCTGTAGATAGAGGAGATCTCCGTGAAGTTTTCTGTATCCCGGGGGAGGATTCCAACCACTTGGGGTCATCACCTTAGAACAAGTAAATGAAAAAAAATTTAAAAAGATGCAAATTATTCAAAAAAAAATTTTTTTTGTTTTGCCTCTAGACTGTTTCATATACCTGCAAGTCCTTATTATACAAAACACAAGGATACCGCAATAATTTTTAAATAAAGCAAAGGTTTAAATGATACCGATGTGAACTGAACGACGAACGTGTAACTCTTTAAATATAGGGTCACCTTAGATAAAGTTAACAGTCCTTTTAAACTATCACAAGTAAAATAAACTTAGCTTGAATCTTGAATGTGATACAGTGATGACCAAAAAACAGTGAAATATTCGTCGTGATCTTTTTTCTTTTCATTGTGAAATGTCATTTATTGGGCCCTGAATATTTCTAAAGATAATAGGATTAACAGCTCTGCAAAGATTGAAATTTAAAAAGACGACATTCATTCCACAGTTTTCTGTATCTCACTGTACGTATGGATGTTAGATATTAGAGTGACAACTTCCCAAATGTACAATTTCCCTGCGTCAACCAAGAGGCCGAAAAAGAGCTATAAAAGTCAAAACAAGCTCCAATCATGTACCGCTGGGGAGAAACGAAAGGAGACAGAACACTCAGGGGTACACCAATCAGAGAACCAGAGACAGGATCCAGAGCGAGAAGAGGGGGAGGGAGGAGGAGGAGGAGGATACAATAAGAATGGAGGAGCAGAACCCTACCAAGAACGGGAGACACTAAGTATTCTCTATCTTAATGCCCAAAGTATAATTAGTAAACTAAATGAACTTCAAGTTGTTAGTAAGGACCTGAATCCATCTATTATATTAGTTACTGAATCCTGGTGTAATAACTCTATATGTGACTCAACTATCTCTATTCAAGGCTATGATATGAACTAAGCAGTGAAATACGGAAAGATAGACATGATACTAGAAATGGAATTGGAGGAGGGCTCTTGGTTTATGTAAAGGAAGGTCTGAATATTTTACCCTGCGACACAGGCTCTAGCTTTAACCAGCACTGTAAATTTGTATTCAAGACAAATTCTGAGTCTTTATATTTTTATCTTATCTACAGGCCTCCTAGCTCAAACCAGGAAAACCTTACTAAATTAGAGAATCTTCTGAAGCACTGTGAAACAAATTCAATATTCATTGGTGATTTTAACTTGCCAGAAATAGACTGGAATAATTACAGTGCACCAAATAAGTACACTAACATTTTGAACATATGTCTAGAAAAAGGTTTTGAACAGTTAGTTGATTTCCCAACACATGACAAAGGAAATATTTTAGATCTTGTTTTAACAAACAGTCCTCATCTAATTCAAAACATTAATGATTGTGGAAAAATTGGCAGCAGTGATCATTGCTTAATTTCTATTGAAATATTATCTAGTTATAAAGAAACAAACAATACTTCAGAAAGATTCAATTGGAACAGGGCAGATTTTGATTCTATAAGTGAAGGACTAAATGCAATTAACTGGAAAGAGGATCTGTACAATCTATCTACTGAAGAAGCCTGGAAATTCTTTTGTATTATCTTGAATGATTTGACTGAAAAATATGTACCTAGAGTTAAGATGAAATCAAACTCTCATCCTTCATGGATGAGTAGAGACCTTTTAAAAAGTATCAGAAAAAAAAGGAGAGTTTGGAAAGAATACAGAGTCTCTGGGGAGCTGAGGAAATATGAAGAATACAAGGATCTAGAAAAGCATGTGAAGAGTGAGGTCAAAAGACTGAAAAAACAATATGAGAAAAAACTTTCTAAAATGAAAACCAACAACAAAAAGTGTTTTAATGGATACTTGAAGAATAAACTGAAGAATAGAACTGGTATTGGACCTTTAAGTAAACCGGATGGTGAGGTAACTAACCTGAAGGAGGAAATGGTAGAGATTCTGAATCAGTACTTTGGAAGTGTATTTACACATGAAGACANACTTCTTTACCCAAAGAGTCATTGATGATTGGAACCAGTTACCCAGCACAATTAGAGAGTCTCAAAATATCAAGATATTTAAAAGAAATCTAGACCAATATTTATCTTCTTCTGAGATGAACTGATGAACTGAGAATATGACAGGATCTCCAGAAGAAGACTGTGTGGAAAAGATGTTGCTAAATGCCCCTAGCGGGGGCTACATCAACTACTCTCCAAGTATACAAGTAAGTAACTTCCCAAGTCTGTCCTAGCTGCAGCGCTCGGACCCCTAGTTTTTATAAGCCGCAGCGCTTGGCCCCTTTTCAGCCTGGGGCGCCTCAGAATGCCTAACCTAACCTTTGGGAAGTTGCCACTTTGGAAATTGTCACTTGGGAAGCCTGTTTTTGGAAAATGCCGTTGATAGTGTAAATATGAATGTAGCTGGTAACAGTTAGGTAATTACCTTGATACAATTAAGTTTGGCTGGTTGATCCCTGGAGGTCGGATGAAGAGGAAGAAGAGGAATATCTTTATCCACAGCGTTCCCTGTTCACAAATACAAAATTAAATCATTCAATTCAGAAAGAAAAAAACTGAAAAATACATTTAACATTTTCTTTGTTTGAAAAACCTTGAATGTTCACGCCACCAAAGGACTAAATTAAAAGTTTGAATTTTCAAATTTTTCACTACATCATAGTTCTACGAGCTGTGCGAGAATATTTGTGAGAAAAATAAATTCAATTCTTAAATGTCCAAAACCTGCCGCTCAGTTTGGTTCGAGTTGGGACACAGGGGTGTATATTTTCCTAAGAAATCAATCCCCTTTTCCCCTGTTCAGAAATCATTTTTTTCCCTGTAATTAATATATAGTTGCACGGAGCGGCAAATTTTTTCAGGGGTATTTCGCTGAATTGGGGGAAATATGATTTAAGAAAAAAAAGATTTTTAAGGGTAAAAAGTATCAAATAGAATGAAAAAACTTGCCATTTACATTTTTCAATTTTTCCCCAATTCATCAAAACAAATCCCCCCCCCCCCCCATCCACCCTCGGGGGGGGGGGGGGGGGGGTAATTTTGAAAAATATACACTACTTAAGATGATGCCGCTGGACAGATTTGTGGCGCTAGCATAAACCCCATAATATGGCTTTCTAGATAGTATTTACCTGGAAGAATAAACTCGGGCGGAGTACAATCTACAGGATCAGAGCGGACACGCCTCTTCTCCATAATATCACCCTTTATAAACATTACATTTAAGGGACATGTGGCATGTTCTATTCACAAATAAGATTTAATGTTGATATGGAGGAAATTCAAGTTAATTTCAGGAAGACAAGATCTCAGTTAGTTTAACTACTGATCGCTCAGTATCCTCTCATTCCATTCTCAATACTCTCAAAATTTCCCTTTTAGAAAGAAAATGTGTACGACTTAGAATAATAGTGCAATCAGAACTAATCAAATCTTATTTATCTATATATATATATATACTTTGCTTGTCTTTCTGTCCGTTTGTGTCCCATACACGACATAACTGATGAACCGATCGGGCCCAAATTTTATGTGGGACCTCATATGACCCCAGGGAAGGTTTATGGATGCTTAAAATAAAATTACAAAACTTTGTGTCTAAAAGTTTTTGATTTTTGTAAAATTTTGAAAATGCGAGAAAAAATATTAATATATCCGCAAACTTTTTTTGTTGTTTTTGTTTTATATTACAAAGAGAAGATGCTTCCAGATGAGAGTTCCAATTAAAAGTTGAAATAGACGATCTAAAAGCCTAGATATTTAAAATTGCTCCTACCGCGGTGACAGTATTGAGGAAGGAGAGTGAAGCACAGTCTACGCCGTTATATGCGTCAGAGGGTTCAACAGACTTGAGAAGATCACGAACATGACGGACATGGATTCTTGCCTCACGCATTGTATAGGGCTCTTCAACAACCTGGATAAAGTATAAAACTAAATACGCTCCGTCGGCACAAAATAGATAATTTTTGAGCAATGGAGTAAATTGATAGACTCGAATTTGTTTAATCGTATTAGGTTGGCGGAACGTATTTTAAAAATGGTACAAAACTGCTAGTGCACAAGGTCATTGTAAGCCTGCGTAATTTTTCTGTGAACCTTAACTATCATATAAAATTGATTATTTGGGTGTTTTAGCATTGAACATTAACAACATATTTGAAGTTCTAAACCTTCAATTAAGATTTGAAAAGAAATATGAATTAAAAGAATTATTCAACCATAACAAGTCAAATGTGTATTGTGCTTCAAAAATGGCACAGTTTCAATAAACTTTATTTAAAATATTCTTTACCTTGATTAGACTACCCTCCTTGAGCCCCTCGACAGTCTTAAGCTCAGCGAAGTTGTCGAGGGTGATACCGTCCAACTGCAGGGAGAAGCAAGTCCTAGGATACAATCATATTGCAAAATATAATTCAACCTTAATTCTAGGAACAAAAGTTTGCCCACACAAATTTACATTATTTGTAAGACAGGAAACAAAATAAAATGCCAAGAATTTTTGCGCAATTGATTTTTAAAAATATAAAGTATATAAATTTCAATGATATTTGAATTGTGAGCAATTTTAAAATGCTAATAACTAATTTGTTAAACGATTTTTTTAGAGACTTGTACGTGATGGCTTGAAAAGTAAAAAAAATATTTTCACATGAATTTAATTGCTTTTAACGATGTTTCCGATTTTTGATGATATTCATGATATTGGTATTTATCTAAAAGATGAGTATTGCAGTATTCATATTCCTATGGCACGTATCCTCTCTATCCATGAGAAGTTGATGAATCTCCTGAACCAACTCCATACTAGACACCTAGAACAAGGACACCAACATTAATTTATGTACTTCAAAAAAAATTGGGGAAAAACCAGGGTATAACAAATTAAAATAAACCAGAGTAATATTTAAAGGAGTTGTAAAAAATCCAACTTGAAAATCTTTCAAGAATAAATTCGAAACTTTTATATTGTTAAATTAGTTTATTGATATTTTAAACTTGGATCTTATATGTTACTCTAACCTGAATGTCAAAAGGTTCTACGCCAGGTGCTGCCACCTTCACGTTGAATCCTAGATCCTAAAAATCAAACTATTTAAAACATGTTCAAATATAAATTATCCACAGCTACTACAACTATATTTGTATAACTTTTTATACATTATTTTAGTCCTTTATGCTAACTCTGTGATCCACGCACCCCAAAAGGGGGCTTTGGGTTACAGGGAGGGGTGGTTACCTGGTAATACTTGTGTTATTGGGGAGTCATGATAATAGATATAGATAGATCCGCGTCAATGATCCATCATTAACTACCTGTTCTGCTTTCTCACTATACCTGAATAAAGACGACCTCTTGATCATTTTTACATGTTGAGCACTCGTCAGTCTTCTCTCCTCCTTCTTCCTTCTCCTGTCAACAACAAGTTCAAATAATAATTAATAAATAAACTGAGCAGAAAACTTTAGAATTGTGGATATCGAGATCAATGCTTGATCTTCATTTTTTGTTAATTTCAAGATTAATTTGATCTTAAGTTTATATCAACAAAATTGTATATATATCTACCAATTGAGTGGCATTTGGAGAAATCGGAATAGCCAATCAGAGAAGCCGGAAAAGCTTAAATTTTGAGTGCCATTTAAAGAGTGTACTGTACTCTCATTGGTAAAACACAGTACAGATATCCATAAAGAGAGCGGATTAAGGAGGAAATTAAAAGTGTTCACATTGGATATTTGGATAAAGCATTCAGGATTAAAGGTATCCAATTCTTAAGTTTTCAGCTCTGATCCAACGAGAACCAGGACATAGGATTGAAAACATATTGTTACGAATCCATCACAAGAATATTTCTTAAAAGTTTTACAAAAAGGAAAATGTCTGATATCTTTTTTCAATCATTCCTTTGGTAAAACTAAATTTACCACTATGATATCACGAACAGTTTAATTATCTCTCAAGATTAAGGCTTTGAAAAAACATTATTATAGATGTTAAGGTAGATATTTTCCGCTGTGATTTGGATCTACGAAAATATAAGCGCAGATTGCTTATAGAATCAAAATTTATTATTAACAAAAACATCTTCCTTCTTTAAAATCTTTTACAATTTGTTCTTTTTAGACTGCCTAAGTCTGAAGAGGGTAGTTGGGACTGACATATAAGATTGAAAAGCTTCAGCTGATTTAGTTAAGAGTTAGAACTGGTTGAATCTTAAAAGACATGTTTAGAGATAACATTTTGCTTGGTTTTCCTTGGTAGCCTCGAGTTCACCCTTTTCTACATGTTCATCTCCCATTTTGAAAATTTATTCAGTCCTGAAATATATATATATATTCATTTAGTATTCTTAATCTTCATCTTTATCCCGATCATCCAACAATTTTTTAAGTGTTGACTCTAATAAATATCTGGAATATAAAACATGAACGGGAACAGAAATATTGTAAATTATCTTCAACCAAAAGTTTCGTATTTTCACACTCAACGGAACATCTTGAGGCAGGTTCCTGGATCCATCGATAAATAACTTTTTAGGAGTATCATAGATGAAATCGTCTATCTTGGCCGATTCTAGGTTGGCCGGGGACGGAAAGCTGGATCCGAAAAGAATAATATTTTCTTTATATGGAACACAGAACCATGTTGTGCCCTAAAGCATATCATCTTTTTATTTTTATTTAAATCACAATTATACAAAAAAATAATTATTTTTTACCCCAATTTTAAAAAGAATTATAAATAAACAGTTGTGCTAAAACAGTATTTTTGAAAATACAGAAACAATTTTCTTCCCAATCTAATGGATAGAATACACTGATGATATTTTCCTTAAGTCCTTTATATTCCCATCTGAGCAATATTTGTTGTAGGTCACGTTCTACTACAGTCCAGCATAGAACCTCATCTCCTTCATTAAACCTAGTCAAATATTAAATCCAGTCTTGATCATGTAAACTCGTTCTGAGATGGAATTTAAAGAATTTGAGCCGCGGTTTAAATCCGCCAAAATCCGCCAAAACCCGGTTTAAATTTAGCGCCGGCTTAAATCTTGAAACATTTGATGAGATGGAATTTAAAGAATTTGAGCCGCGGTTTAAATCTGCCAAAACCCGGTTTTAATTAAGCGCCGGCTTAAATCTTGAAACATTTGATACAATTTTAAGTGGAACCAACCATATTTAAGCCGCGGCTTAAATTTAAACCGCCGCTCAAATTCTTTAAATTCGGCCACAGGTTCTTTTAATGTCATTTAAGTTCTCAAAATTCATAATTATTTGTTAAAGTGACGAAGATTCAGGATTTTTGTTTATTAGTAACATGATGCTGAACATGATTTTTTTTACAAAAAAATATGGTTACCTAAATGCTTTGAAATTCAACAGTCTCTCATCTCTTTGTTCAGTTCTAGCACAGATTTAATATATTTTCTTAATCTGTAGTATTTGTAGAAGTAAACGTGCCAAAACTGATTTACAATTTTCAAGTCGTCAATCGAATAATACTTGTCGGTTCTACTAGAATGCAGAGTTATCGAAAACTTCTCCTCTTAAATAACTTTTTAACAAGTATCGTTGACTTTACTTCAGTCCCTTGAACATGTGTATTATACAATTATTTATTTTATTACTTGTATCATTCTTAAGATGTTTGCCGCGGGTGGGCAATTGAATAATCAGATAAAATGTCGTCTTTGAAGATGATTAAACATTAATCTGTTCCTGAGAAGGTAGGATAGCATCGGTTTCTCAAAACTGGAGAAAACTTGACAGGTAAAAAATGCACGGGCAACATCTGTCGCACTTAACACCAACAAATTGCACATACAGAAGAAGTGCAGGAAAATTATTTCCATAAAAATTATCCAATAACAATTTGGTTCGAATCAAAGATAAGTTTATAATCTTCAAACTCTGTTTATGGAGTGGCATGACCGATTTACCGCAGTAGCCGTTAAACCTTCATATCCTAGAAGCTATCATTGTTTTTTTGGATAATGAAAAGGAACAATTCAAAAAATGCCTTTCTTTTTTCTTAGTAGCATAAATGCGCAAGTCACGTTAACAAAGAAACCACAATTGAAAAGAATAGCAAGAGGATAAAAAGATACCTCTTGACATCTTTGATCAAACAAATTGAAAAGGTTTCGTTTAGAATCGAAAATACCACTCTAAAAACTGGTGGTTCACTTAAAAATACGTTTAAAGCCCTTGAACGTATTATGTTAGTTTCCTAATCTGTTTGCTTGATCCAGTTCCCTGAATCAGCTTGAACCTACGGATCAACGGGAATAAAGATCATCTTATTAAATATTTTCTTCAAGTAAGAAAAGATGCTTTGTTAATAAGCTTGGCAACTATTATTAATTGACCGTTTCTTAAGCATTTCTCAATTAGTATCATAGCAATTTACATCGGCAAAACTTATTCCTCAAGTTTAAGTTGAAGTCTTTTTAGCTTTAATTTTGTCTCGAGCTTTGTCGAGAACCTTAGATTAGAGAAAATTTGAGTCCAAAAACTTTAAAGCACGTCGTGTCAAAATAATATTGTTATAGGTAATTTTATGAAACGTTTGTATACTTGTCTTATTTCAATGGCTGTTGCTAGATCAAGCAAGCTTTGAACCAAAGCAGAAGTCAAAATATAAAGTTGATTTCAATTTTATTTTCATTTCAATTGAAAAATAATATTTTGGAAAAAATCCGGGAATCAAATAAAACTAAGTACACGTGCTATAATGTACAGCTAATTTAAAATTGTAGCATGATAACTTTAGAGCACGTTCATATTGAAATTCACGATGAAGTGAATAATAATGATAAAGTACACTATAGTTTCATAAAACAAAATATGAAATTTAAGAATAAATACAAAGTTATTCATTTCCTTCCTATGAGGGAGTTCTATTGAATACGCATCTTTGTATTCCTTCCGCCCATCCTACGCACAAATATGTTACCTCAAGTCTTTATTGTGCAATTGCCCAATTCACAACTTTTAAAAAGAGAGTGGGACAAAGGAATTCAATCCTTGCAACAAACTCAAAATTATCGAATCACTCTTTTCAAATCTTACAATAATACCTTTGACATTTTGGACCAACAGAATTCATAGTTTGAAATATGGAAGGTCTACGACATTGGGTTGCAAAGATAAAGGGATTAGAAAATCTTACAATAATACTTTTAAAAAGTGGCTAATGATGAAATATAGTTATTTGATTCATTCTACATTTAAAATATGAACTAGCAAATGGATTATTGTCATCGAAGCTAAATAAAAAGGTTATTAAAACCATTAAAGTTATGCATCATTTAACAACAACAAAAATATTTTCCTTTATTAAAGGAGAAATGATGTTAATTAAGACTGATAACAAATATCCCTGAGGTTTATGTTTGGCTAGAAGGGAACTGGAAGGAACTCTTATCTTCTGAACAACCTGTCAATAAAATAAGAATTGTTACTGAATAACTCCAGATATGTTCTCTGAAGCTTCGCGCCGTTTATTTTAAACTAGATACGCGTCCCGATTCTTTTTGAAAATAACAAATTTAAAAAATATTAAAGTTACTAAGTTTTAGACTTATCACTGTGTAAAATGTAAGGAAAATATTTTGCCATTCGAATCTGCAGGAAAGTTCTTTGCAACTAATTTCAATTAGAATAATCTTTTAGTGTAGAGCGGCCACCGTCTCCCCCCCTCACCCCCGTACCTCTCATAAGTTGCATGGATTAGCGGCGAGCGCGGAACATTGTAATGAAAATTCTAACACACTGAAGACAAATAGTGTTAATTTCCAAGTTTTGGTAATTCAAGTTGAACAAATAAGATATTTTACATAAAAAGCGCATTTAACTAAAACAAATTTTCCATTTCAATTTATTTCCTACTTTTCAGTTAATTTACAGGGACTGTCGGACATTTCACTTGTGTACACCGATTCACTCATTATTCCTCAGATTTGAAAGGGTACTATTGTGAATCAGACCTGCCTCTTTGTAGAGAGGGTTCACGTAATATTTTGATGCATAATTCAATTTAACTCGAAATACCTGATTTACTCGGTTCACTGATTTGTAGGAATAAAACCCTAATTCAAACAGAGGCTTCGAAATAGATAAGAAAAAAATATTTAAATTTTTTGGGGGTTTGAAAAAAACGCAATAGTTTTCTTCGCCTTTGTTACCTAATGCCGACACCCCAGACACTACTACAAATTTAAAGAGAACCATTTTTCTGAAATATTAACATTTAATACATACATTTAATACAGGGGGATTCGAGTTCAGAATATTCATAGGTAACTACGTTTTCAGATCGTTGAAATCTAGGATCACAGAAGATTAACTAAAACTTATATTTAATTTTAATTTCAAGTCATTTAAAACTAGTTGGTTGAATAAAAGCATTTCATAAATTTAACAAGATTCTTAAATTTACTGATAAATTGTCATGATCTCGATATCTAATAAATTGTTCTCAATGAATTTGGTTTGGAGAAGATGGAGGAAAATTCGTCCCTCTCACTTGGGGGTTTACATCTCAAGATCTGGCGGATTTATATGTTTAATAAAGTAAAATTCTTCGCTCTACAGGTTTTCTACAAATCGGGCATTCGCTCATGCGGTCTCCGCACATTTGACATGTCCCGTGCCCACACAGAAATATCATATTCTTCAACCTAAAAATTACACTGAGATAAGTTCACAACCGTTAGTTTTTTATCAAAATTACTGTGAACTAAAATAAGAATATATACATTATACAATATACATTTTTAAGCAAACCTAAAAACCTTTAGAATAATTAAAATTTTGTTTAAAAAATTGTTATTTTTAGTTTTTTACCGAATCAAAACTTAATTCCTCGAGATATTTCGATAATTTCGTAATATTTGAAAAGTTTCTTAGTTCACAAAACTCGTTCATTGTAAATTTTCACTTTCACATTTAACTTAACTATATCTTGCACAAGTAACTACTAATTCCATTTAACTTATATTAACTCTACTTGTATACTGTAAACAGAAGAAATAGAAGTAATATGTTTGACTGTTGCTGTAGCACATGTGTATAAAATTGTGTGTGTGTACGAGTGTGTGTTTGTGGAATGGAATCCATATGTTTTGAGAAAGGCTAGAGGGCAGGTCAGCTGACGAAACAGCTGACTCGCGTAGGAAAGCAGGAATAAATTAAATAACAGCGAAGGGGGAGGGTGTTGATAGATAGATAGATTAGAAACTAGATAGTTACACGTAAGTTTTTAGTTGCTAAGGTAGAAATAATTGCTACATAGAGAGGGGGGAAGGAGGGTGAGGGGGGCCAGGACGGCCCGGGGGTGGGGGAAACCTATGAACCGGAATTTAACAGGAAAACACGGGTGAATGAATCGATCAGAAACATTTTGGACAGCACATTTGTAAAATCCATGACATGTTTTTTCTTTTTTTTTCTTGTATAAACGTTATGATGATCTAAATTCATACTACAAGATTAAAAAGTGTCTATTTGTCTATAAAGCAGACTGGACACATTGTTTGCTAATGATTAAAAAAAGTTTCTATCTATATACCTGTCTAAAACGAGTAGACAAATTGTCTGCTAAAAATTAAAATGTCTAATGTCTACCTGTCTAAGCAGACCGTATACATTGTCTGTTAAAGATAAAAAAGTTTCTACTTGTCTAAGCAGACTGGACACATTGTCTGCTGAAGATTAAAACATTGTGTTTACCTGTCTAAGCAGACTGAACACATTGTCTGCTGAAGATTAAAACATAATGTTTACCTGTCTAAGCAGACTGGACACATTGTCTGCTCCTTGATGTCTGCAAGCTGCTGCTGAAGTTTCTGAACATCTTTAATATTGCCTTCCTTGTTCTCCTTGTTCTCTTTAATCTCCTTTGCCTTTATTCCAACTCCTAGATAAGGTTAAAAAAATGAATTCGTCTGGTAAATACCAGTGCTTTGTATACGCCAAGGATCCATTTAATTTTGATGCGGATCCGCACTGGAAAAAATGGTTGCGGATTCAGTTCATGAACATATCGTTAAGATATTCTGATTTTTTTTATAAAGCAGGATAGTCTACTTATTTTTCTTCTTTTTTTACGTATTTATGCAAAAACTTGATTAACAATTCAGAGTTCAGGAAATTTTTATAATCTTTCTTTTTACAACAGAGTAATAAAGTGTTTTTTTTTGGTAGATTTTGGTTGATATTTTGCCCCTAAAAGGGACTGTAAAGGAAAAATTGAAGGGGGTATAGGCTGAAACCTAAGTATCTTCAGAGTTGATCGAGACCCATCAGAGTTTTATCTGATGTTCCTGTCTCGAGAAATTGATATAAAACTGAGTCAAATTTATACGAAAATTTATGTATTTAAAATTTTGTTTAACAATCGTAGATTTAAACAGATCATATTTAGCAAATACTTAATCAATCTTTAAACGACGATAAGAGCATATTTGTTCAGCAAGAGCGCAAATGCATCTTTAAAATCCTCTCATAGATTGTCCATTTTAGAGGGATGATTTTGAGAATCGGTTTTATTTAAATTATTCAATGACGACCACGAAAAATCTAATAAAAAATTCTACAGTAAACTAATTAATTGTTTAGGAACGGGTTAAGAAAATAAAAATTAACTCTGGTCATTGAAAATAAGTAATCTTATTCAGTTATTGGTTTCTGTAATGTCTCAATGGCCAAATCCATTTTCTGTAGAATTCCTAAAATTTTTAATCTATATATAAATTTGGCTTGTCTGTTTGTTTGTTTGTTTCATCCAATAAACGTCAAAACGGCTGAACCGATCGGGCCCAAATTTTTTGTTGGACCTCACGTGACCCCAGGGAAGGTTTATGAATGATCAAAATTTTAAAAACTTGTTTTTAAAAGTTTTTTATTATTGAAAAATTTTGAAATGCGCAAAAAAAATATCATGAAATCCGCAAACATTTTTTGTTTTTGTTTTATACTGTACAAAGAGAAGATTTTCAGAGATAAAGCCACCATTAAAAGTTGAAATAGAAGATGGACGCGAAGCGCCTTAAAAGCCTAGTTTGTAGAAATCTGCGAACAAATTCAGAAAGAATAAGAAAATCAATATGATGAAAAATTACCAATTGATTCTGACATTGATTTATTAACAAATTTCTAATGAGAAATATGTTCCTAAACATTTTGAATATTTATTATTTATTAAATCGATTTTCAAAATCATCACTCCAAAAGGACAATTAATTAGGATTTTAAATATTGCATTTGCGTTGTTGCTGAACAAATATGCACTGTAAAAACGCCTGATATGTCTCAAATGAATTAAAATAAATCTCTCAATACTACTGCATATCAGTACAACTACCATACATTGCCGGTCACTCCATTAAAAAAGTACGGCCTGTACAATTCACAACAATAACCTAAAAAGCGTTTTCTTATCAAGAATGCATGAGATATCCATCATCTTCTTTTGGAAAATTGTTCATTTTCAATAGTGGTTTCACTTGATACCTTGGTTAAAGGGTACCTTTGTGAATCGGGGATTAAGGGTCAACTAAATTACAAAACATTCCCTTTAAGATCAACGATAATACGGATCAGGTCATTAAAAACATTGATCCGGATTCTGCAAACGAATGTTTCACGTTGAGAGAAATTAGGGGAATTTGGGGAAAATCTTTCTTTCAGTTAAGCCATTTTTTCTCACCAAAGCTTAAATTTGTAACACTACTTGTCCATCCCTCTAAGACTAACCTGTGTTAGGGGAGTTGATTGTATTATTCATTGAACTGTTAGCAACAGGCGGTAAGGAGGAAGCGCCTACAAAAATATAGTTTAATTAAAGTAGTATGTACTATGTATATTGTATATTATAGAGGGAATCACAACAAGGATTAGATAAGCTAGTCCAATGGTTACATAATACATATATATTGAAAAATTTGTTTTCTACAACCAGCATGCTGCATTTACGGAAAGAGAGGGAGGGGGGTTATACATTAGATATATATCAGTTTAGAAAATTAAAAGTTACGACTCAGAGAAATGTTCTTTAGTGAATGAACGAGGACAACGATCAATCCAAATTTTTTTATTACTGTATTATACAAGGGCATGGTTTAGAAAGGACTGAAAAGTAATTATTAAAGTAACGATAATTGATAGGTTTCATAAAAAGTAAAAGTTAACTTCATGAATAAAAAAAAACATAAATTGTTTCATTGGAACTAATGACACCAAAAACAAAATAAATCTTCAAAATCGATCTTATCAGAAAATTTAACACACGACTTTTTTCTTGACCTGCATTCAACACATCTCTTCATGACCCCAGCACAGGCAGTACAAGCAACCATATGATTACATGGTTTAAACAGAACCTAAACAAACATTAAAAGAGTTTGTAAGTGTACATTGAACTTTGTACATGCATCCATATGATTACATGGTTTAAACAGAACCTTAACAAACATTAAAGAGTTTGTAAGTGTACATTGAACTTTGTACATGCATCCATATGATTACATGGTTTAAACAGAACCTTAACAAACATTAAAGAGTTTGTAAGTGTACATTGAACTTTGTACATGCATCCATATAATTACATGGTTTAAACAGAACCTTAACAAACATTAAAGAGTTTGTAAGTGTACATAGAACTTTGTAAATGCATTCATATAATTACATGGTTTAAACAGAACCTTATTTTTGTCAACTGTACATTGAACTATATGAAGTTTTAACAAAAACAAAACTCGGTATTCCTTGTGTACATTTTATACTTCTTGAGAGTAAATTGCGGTTCATACACATTACATACATACTTCAAATACCAGAGCTCATAACTTAAGACAGAGTATCGGAAACCCGAGGCCGAATTTAAAGAATTTGAGCCGCGGCTTAAATCCACCAAAACCCGGTTTGAATTACGCGCCGGCTTAAATCTTGAAACATTTGATACAATTTTAAGTGGAACCAACCATATTTAAGCCGCGGCTTAGATTTAAGCCGCCGCTCACATTCTTTAAATTCGGCCTCCGGTTTCATGAATAGGGTCAGGCAGTTTTAAATTAAACTCTACGCAATTGCATTGACCCCTTAAAGGAAACTCGGAAGTTACGATACTCTCTTAGCTGTCCGGCTCTATGCCTCACTATTGAAGTTCCCAAATTAAAATAAAACTGTACTATGTAAATTCACCTGAGCTTGACTATCCGTACATACAGTACAATCCCCAATTGGAGTTCTATCATCCACAAACTCCTAAAAATATAAATTACTTTATGTATTCATCATCAAATTTCTTTTCAGCGGCCATTATAAATGAGAAAGTTATTTTGAGGCAAAAAAAAATATTTGATTTCCCCTTTTTCATACGTCATACCCCAAAATTCATTGATTTCCCCCTTGTATTGATTCATTACCAAAGATTCAGCGTGAACACTGAACATCCTAAAGTATGGGGGTGAGGGGGGGGGGATGATTATTCAACTAAATATATTAGATTCTAACCCCCCCCCATATCCTTGAAAGAATAATTACCTTGCAGAGAAGGCATTTCTTGACCCTAACAGAACAAGCAGTGCAAACTGTTATATGCCCGCAAGGTGAAAATAAAATATTTCTCTTTTGATCACTGCAAACCATACACTCATCCATCAGCTTATCCTAGACAAATTCTTAGCTCTGTCTCCAGTTTTAGGATTAAAGTCTAAATTCCCAATTCAAAAATTAAATGCATATCCTGGTTTTAAGTTCTGGCAAGAAATTAGAGCATTTACAACGATTAATAAATGGCTAAGTACTCAGTAGTAGACGTTAAAAAAATTAGATATTTGGATCTCGGCTAAATTAATTGACTACTCATTAAATCATGAACTTGTCGTTGTCAGTATGAATAGAAACGGTGTGGTTCTTACCTCCTCTTGATGAACCATACCATCCCCTCTAACTATCCCCTGCATGGCCTGTCCGGACACATCCCGTCCACACTTCTGCAGGGCCTAAACATTACACAACATTGAGAGCAGACGTAGAATCTTGAACAAATGGGAGTGTTTAAATCTGGGAATAAAATTTTAAAAGTTTTCTTCATACTTTTTACCCAAATTTTTATTCATTCTCAAAAAATCGTAAATTTTTCCTAATTTAGCGAAAAAATCAAATATTTTCTGCTTCGCACAGACATACCTAACTTTTTAGGGAAAAAAGTGATTTTCAGAAGAGACCCCTGGGAAAATTGTGAACAAGATTTAGCAAAGGCAGCTGAATATGTACCACATCCCTTCTTGGAACTACAGTACACATAAATATGGGGCTCCTGCTCATCAGGAATATCAGGAAAAAGATCTGAAAGCTCATAGCTAGTTAATCTTACTAGCAAGTTCTATTTACAAATTAAAGTGTATTTTTAATTATAAAAAGATTTCTCCACCATCCTTTCTAAGATAAAGGTTGTTGATTTAAAAGCAAGGAAATTAAGAAAATTCGTTAGATTAGGTTGAAAATGCTTTTCTGATTATGTATAGTAGAATCAGCTTATATCAGAGAGAGAAACTTTTGTTTGAGAAAGCGCTTAGCATCAGCGACTGTACTCGATATCCAGTCTATTAAAATCCGTACTTTGTCTTTAGGTTGATTGTTAATAATAATAAACTGGAAATCTACTTTTTTTAAATGATTCGATAAAGTATTAAGTGTTTAAGGTAAAACCACCAAGAAATCTTTTTTGAGGGCTTAAGCCACAGATTTAATTAACAAGTGTCACCCTCCGTTATAAATGCTATTAAGAAGCCAGGGATTGTTAAAAAGCTCCTTGATTTAGTCGGGGTATGCCATCTCAATCCTTTCCAGATCACGGCTTTTCAGCCTAACATAATTTAAGCTTAATGTCGACTCACGACCATACTTGAGTCTTGATAACGGTCAGAACTTTTCCGTCAGCGGATTACCAAACAAGTGTAAAAGCCACAGATTTAATATATAAAAGTTTCGTTCTCTGTTAAAATAAATCAATAATGGGACCAAGGCCGTAGTCAGGAATTTGTCCGGGGGGTGTTTACATTTTTTCTTGAATTCGCCTCAGAATGGTACTTTACCTTGCAAAGGTTTGGATCAGGGCAAAGGTCTAGAGGAGTCTGTCCCTTCTTATTTTTAATGGATAGATCAGCTCCGTTGGCCGCCAAAAAACAGGCTATAGAAGCTGAGGACTTCTTATCTGAGCCTCCAGACCCCAATCCCATCAACAACTTACCAACATCTTGCATGTCCTAAACACAGAGTTTTATATCTTCAGTTTTTCTATATCTCTTATTAGATATATTCTTCTTTTAACCTCGTCAATCATATTCCCCATTTAATGTTAAACACTTCCTTTTATAAAATAAATCTGAATCTGTTACAAAATCAATAATTATTAACCAAGTTTTAAACCGAGCTTTTACAAATTTTTTAACCGATTTCAAACCGAGTTTTTACAATTTTTTTTTATTTTTGATTATTTTTTAATCGATTTAAAGAAAGATGTTTTAATCGATTTTTTTAATCAATGTTTTAATAGATTTCTGAATCGATTTTTTAATCGATTTTAAATCGATTTTTAAAAATATTTTTTAATACATTTTTTCAATAGATTTTTAAACAGATTTTTAATAAGATTTTTAAAAAGGATTTGTGACGTGTCAAGTCTTACAAAAGTTTAAGGAAAAGAGAAAAAATCGATAAAGAATGTAAGAGAAAAGTGTAGAAGGCAACACTTCAAAATCTGACTGAAAAGTTAAAAAATAATAACGTAATTTTTCAAATAAGGTTGTCACAGTAGATTATTAACTGGCAATATCTATCAACTGGCAATATCTATCAACTGGCAATATCTATCAACTGGCAATATTTATCAACTGGCAATATCTATCAACTGGGAATATCTATCAACTGGCAATATCTATCAACTACCTGAAGCTGACGCAGTTGTGAGAGTGTGTGGTGTCTAAGAGATTCATGAAGAGGAGTATCCCCATCCTTATCTGTTATATTCAGATTACATCCTTCACGGACTAACAGCCTAAAACATATAACAAATTATATATTACTATTATTAACAATCAACCTACAGACAAAGTACCATGACCTGTATGTAGGCTTTAATACAATCAAAGATATGATTGAGCTCCGCCACTTGGATCTAGTGGATCATATCTGACCTGAAGTTTTTCAGGGTTCAGTGTGTTCAGCCAGAAATGGTCAGATTTAAAAAAAAGGCATTGGAGGTTCGAATAGTTTTAACTATTTCAGCATGATATGTTTGAGATTTATATCGCTGAATTCCGGGCTTTTGAAAAGTAGCAAAACAAAACAGCTACTATTTTTGAGGCAAACTGCATATTGAGGGTGGAAACTGGAAATGATAAAAAAAATATAGCTCCTCAGTCCTCAGTGCTTAGGATCCATTTAATTTTAATACGGATCCGAATCATGAATCCGCAGTCCGCACTGGAAAAAAAATGGATCCAGATTCAGGGCATGAACATTTCTTTAAGATTTATGGAATCTTTTTAACAAAGCAGAATTTTCAAACTATTTTTCTTTCTTTTTTTCGCTTATTTTTACGCTAAAACTTGGTGAACCATTCAGATATCAGGAAATTTTTATAATCTCTCTTTTTTTAACAGTTCAGATTTGGATTCTGAAAGTAAAAAGTTTTTTGCAGTTTTAGGTTGCAGTATTTGTTTTCCCTTGGACACGGATCCGTTGATCCGAATATTTTTGCGGCTCCGGACCCTTAAAGCAAAAAAAAAGCACTGGCTCCTCCTTCTCAGTAGGTACCTGACAATACTTGTATGCTGTCGCTCTACAGCAAGATGTAGAGCTGTCTGAAGATTCACGTTCTGTAAATCCATATTGGCCCGTCCAACATGGACCAGCAGTTCGGCAACCTTTAAAGGAATGTTTTATAAACTACAAGTTTTAAGTTTTTAAAACTTAAAGTAAAGGTTTATTAACTAATGTAACCGTATACACATTGGATTTAACTACTGACTAACATCTACATCGTTGTTAAGATGAAGAGCTGTATAATAAAGTGTATAATATAGTGTATATCCATCCTTCTTCCAAACCCCCCCCCCCCCCCCAACCTTATTTCTACACACATTGGATTTAACTAACCTCAATATGGTTATTAAGACTGGCTAGATGAAGGGCTGTATATCCATCATCTTTTTTCTCGTCAACTATCCACGGTCTGACAAATAAAATATTTTATAAAAGGAGATGGTGGAGATGTCCTACTTGATGTAGGGGGGGTCCCTCCCTTCATTATTGGTTCAAATCTTCCAATTTTTGGATGCACGTCTAATTGGGGAGCTATTTTCGAAAAAATAAAATAAAATTGGACACTAATGACCTCTAATGACCTTAATGACTTCGTCCAATAAAAAACTATGGCTTTATGCATATCAATCAAAAGCTAGGAAGCCATGAAATACAGTAATAGCAACAAATGCAGTGATTGGTCTTCTGTTGACCTTTAACGCCCTCTAACAACCTCTAACGACCTCAAATTGAAATTTAACTTTTGCTTTATGCATATCAAACGAAAGCTAGGAACCCAGGCGATATAGAAGCAACAAAGAATTCAGTGTTTGAACTTCTATTGACCTCTAACGACCTATAACGACCTCTAACGACTTCTAACGACCTCTAATTTCTTTATGCACATCAAACGAAAGCTCTTTCGTTTGAAGTGCATAAAGCCATAGTGAAAAAAAATTCAACTTGGAGGTCGTTGGAGGTCATTATAGGTCATTGGAAGGTCGAACACTGAATTCTATGCTGCCTGGGCTCCTAGCTTTTGTTTGATATGCATGAAGCCATAGTTAAAACCTTTTCAATTTAAGGTCATTAGAGGTTGTTAGAGGTCGATAGAGGTCAATAGAAGGAAAACCACTGGATTTGTAGCTGCTACTTTATTCCCTTGGTTCCTAGCTTTCGATTGATATGCATAAAGCCATAGTTGAAACATTTTTTTTGGTCGAGGTCATTAAAGGTCATTAGAGGTCATTTGAGGTCAAAAGTGTCCAATATTATATTTTTAGAAAATAGCTCCCTAATTAGACGTGAAGCAAACAAATTGGAAGATTTGAACCAAAAATTAAGGCAGAACCCCCCCCCTACATGAAATAGGACATCTCCATCATCCCCTTTGCATAAAAGAAGTGGTCATGAAAAATAAAGGGGTCTGTGATAAATTACAAGGAAATTAGGATTTGCAGTGTGGGATTTTTTCTATTGAGGCCTGAAACCCCTTGGAAAGTGAAACTTATTGATTTTAAAAGACTGGACTGGGCCCCCATAGCCCCTCCCCCGGTTCTGCGATCAGGGTAATATGCCTCTGGGTAAAGGGGTCCAGAGTTTAAGGGATTTGAAAACATTTTACCTTGGAAGCTTTGAAAGTAAAACCCGCATTGCGCTCGGATTCCCTCTGAGTGCAGCATGGTGAAGCGCGTTAAATCCGTTGTTGTTGGTGAGCATAATGTCTGCATTATGGTCGAGCAACAAAGCGAGCATATCGTCGCGCTTTTTAGAGATAGCATCGTGAAGTGGCGTGTCCCCCTCGCTGTCCTGGAGGGAGGGATGGCAAGACAGGCGGAGCAGAATATTTACAACACCAACGTGTCCTGAAAAAATCCGAGATAAGGGGAAGGATATTAAACGTATTTCTGACAAGTGACAGACCAATCATTTCAAAATGCACAACAATACCCCTTAGGCTTAAACTTCATCAGAGGATACAATAAAAACATATTCTTATCCGTGGATTTGAACAGCCGTAGAGTTGATAAATCAAGTTAGAAATAAACTGAGAAGTCCTTTATTTAGGATGATAAACGACGGCACATCGAATATTTTCAGATACTGAATTATCTTGCATATGCCTCTCTGTAAATAAAATTGAGCATTTAAGGAAGAGACAGGATAGGCATGGTAGTTTAGCTGAAAGTGAAATATTGTAGAGAAAAACGTGAAGATTCATTTGATACCAATGAGACATTTTTACAGTGTTCAATTTTTAAATAAGAGCGTAAAATCGTTTGTAATATTTTACCAGTTGTTTCAGTCAGGAGAAGAAACGTTTTTTACAATTATTTAACAACCCAAACAAAACATGTAAAAAAAAATTTATACTAACTTGCTGTTTAGGAATATATTTCTTGAAAGAAATTATCGATGAAAGCCATAGTAGAATGTTACTCTATATATCTGTGCATCATAATACCAATGTGATTTCTATTTTGTGATTGTTTTACATAATCACAAGCAGGCAAAGTACTACTAATCTTTACTTCCAGATAAGAATGGTTTTCTGGGGGTTTTTGTTTACCCTGTGAAAACCTATATGTTTTTTATTACAGACTAAGAATGGGGCTAAAGCACACAAGAGACCAATTAACAGTATACAGGCCAATTTTATCAATGGAACCGTAGAATTGATTTTTTCATTATACAATCAACTAGATTGGAGAACAATGTTCCTTACATGTTTTCTCCATGTTATTTCAGAATTGTAATAAAACGTTTCTTCTGCTGACTGGAACAACTAGTGAAATATTACAAACGACTTTACCCTCTTATTTGATAATTGTACAGTTTACACCGTAAAAATGTCTTATTGGTATCAAAGAACTAAAAATTTGTGAAGTAGGAATGGTAAAAATTTTAAATGGTCGGAACAAATTAAATTTAAAACTCACTTTAACAAAACTTGAACGGTCGACACGTCAAAACAAGTCATCTCATTTACAATTTACCATTCACCTTTATTAACTGCAATGTGCAGAGCGGTTTGCCGTCGTTTGTTTCTAGCGTTAAGATCTGCACCCGCCGCGGCGATGACCTCCATGACACCAGGCTCATCGCCAAAGGCGGCATGGTGGACTGCTTGGTCTCCATCCTTATCCTAAACAAGTTATTGATAATTTGACTTTACTGGCGACCTTTTTTGAAGATAAAATGCATAATAAAAGACCTACTCCTCCCAAACCTCCGTACAATTCCATTCATTTAGTATTCACTATTCTTAAATAGTGATTTGCATTAAGTTGGTTCGTTTTTCCAAGTATTTTTTTTTAAATCAAGATTTGGCATAGAGTGTGAGAAAAACAAATGTTTTTATAAATTTGTTTTAGGCAATTGCTTTTTAAACTTTTTTTTCATATTTTATGCCAAATTTTTACCCTGGCAGAAAATATATGCAAAAAAACGTAGCAAAAACGAACTTATTATTACGATCGTTTTTCCATTTTTTTTAGTAAAGTTTAATGCAAACTTTAGCAGAATACAGTTTTGAAATTTTGGCAGTTTTATTAAAAAAATAGAACGATTAAAAACTCTGTTGATGGTACAAATTATCAATAATTTTCATTGAAGGAAAAGGTTTCATTAAAATATTGACCTCTAGCTCGAGATTAGCCCCAGATCTAAGCAGAAGCCGAAGAACTTCAAGATGACCGTTCTGACTAGCGGCCTGGAGAGCTGTGTGACCTTAAAATAAATAAATCTTAATAAATCTTTACTAAAAATTGTTTTTCCTACATATAAGTATTTTTCAGATTCAGAAGACCCCCACCCGGCACCCCCTTGTGTGGAAATGTGGACACTGGACATTGAGGGAAGGAAGGCCAACCACAACATTTTCTAGTCCGACCATATTCTCTTCATTTTCTTGCCCGAGCCACCTCGAAATACTCGTCCTTTCAAAAATATTTATTTTAAGTGTACAATCCTTGAAGAAAAGAATACTTTTTAAAAATCTGTCCACGTTAGGTAATTGTGAATCATGCATTTTCACTTGTTAGAGGACTTTTGTATAAAATTATGATCCCCCCAGGTAGAATTTCTGAGCGGGTCATTGTGTACAGTGGCTGTACAACAAGAAGTCTAAAATTCCAGATGCCCCCTCTATTACTAATATCTCGATGATTCCAACGTTATAAAATCATTGCAAAACTTTAATATAACCATGTTTTATGCCCTAACGTTGCCAGATTCTCAAAAAATATTCTTATCTTCTTGGATTGGACACTTTAAAAAATATTTCTGGACGGACGAGGATTTCGAGGTGACTCTGAAGAAAAAATGAAGGAGAATATGGCTCGGACGAGAAATATTTTTGTGGTTGGCCTTCCTCCCCTCGGACATTCCTTTTCGGAGTTTGTTGAAATTCATATTTCCGCAAAATTAAAATCATCAAAATTTATCTTTTCTCCTATTCGGAAACAGCACAGTGTAAAATATATCCTCCTTTAAATTTTTACCTGCGAACACACCGTTAACATTACAATCTGGTCTGCTCAGCAGTTCCTCAACCTAAAGTTTAGACAAGGACTATAAGATTTCAAATATTTAATACGCGCCATCAGTGAAACACAGCGGTATTCTGTTTTGTTATGACTAGACAGTAGACAGGGCAGTAAATGACTGTTTAAATATGCCAATTTTTTAGTTTACTTAAATTTTGTTATGGCAAATTTTACCATGACTATAAGGAACCCTAAATGTTTATTACGCAATTAATATTTTTATTGAATGATCACTTTCTTGACCAATTTGTCTCAATAATAAAACTGACCAATGTCAAACAAAAGTTAATTAAATAATTTACGTAACATTAATTAACCTTATTCAAATCTCCGTTTGCCGCCGCCTTCACCAACTCCTCTACGGCATCTCCGCTTACATGGGTTTCAAACAGTTTCTAAACAAAAAAAAATTAATTTTTTTACGAAATGTGTTTCTTTAAGCTGAGGCGCTCCTACCCGGTCTCTGTCAAAAAAAAAATTTCAATGACTGAATTTTTTTCTCAATATTTTGAAAAAAGTTTTTTCGCAAAATAGAAATTTTTTACCTTGAGAAGTGCTGATAGTCTCTCACCAGAACTTCCTCCCTATAAGAAACTAATCATAAATCCGATGTTTCGAAGGAATCATTTAAAAGTATCAATAAAATTTGACAACATACAAAATTTCGCTAATTTTTATAACGTTCGCGAATCATGTGTATTTATTAATTAGGAAATTCAATGACTGGCAGTGGCAGAGGACAAATTGATTTTATAGAACAATTAATAATTAATTAATCAATTAATATTAACAATAAACAATTAATTTTAATAAATCAATTGATTATCGGAATGATTGATTGATTGACTAGTGTTCCTGTATCCCGGATTCTCCGACAACTCTGCTAACTGCTCCAGGATTGTATGTCCAGGATGTACCGCAAACCTCAACCTAGAGATATTACAGCTTCATAATTCAGGGGAATATATGTTTATATAAAATACTAGCTAAAGTGCCCGGCGTTGCCCGTGAACACTTAATAAAAATTTCGAATTTTGCAACAAAAAAATCGGTTCTTGAATAAGGAAATTTGTTTAGCCCATGTTACCCGTCCCCCAGGGAACCCATGGGTTTCCTCAACACGTTTCAACCAATTTAGTCCAGCCGGGCCGTTTGGCCAGCTATAGTTGACATATGCATATATATGAGCGAATATCTTTAGATTATATATAGATAATATTAAAAGAACTTCCCATTGAGGTATAAAAAAAATTAAGTTAGGTACTTTCCCAAGCGGCAACTTCCCAAGGATATTTTCCCAAGTGACAATTTCCCTAATGTGCAATTTCCAAAGCGACAACTTTCCAAGTCTGCCCTAGCCGCAGCGTTCGGCTCCCTGCGGCGCCTAAGACGGCCTAACCTAACCTTTGGGAAGTTGCCGCATGGAAAATTGTACACATTTGGGAAGTTACCGTTTGGGAAAACGTCACTTGGGAAGTCGCCCATTGGAAAATTGTCTTAGCGAAAATACTTGACACCAATGGATTAACAACTGGCTGACTGGAAGAAGTCAAAGAGTGATCATCAATGGAGAACAATCCAGCTGGGAACCTGTACTCTCAGGTGTACCCCAAGGATCTGTACTCGGACTAATAACTTTCGTAATATTTATCAATGATATAGACACCTTAACCAAATTTATTGCGATAATGAGAAAATTCGCAGATATCACCAAACTTGCACAGTGTATTCTAACAGTGTATTTTGTTACGAGGAAGATCGTGATAAATTACAGGATTGTCTTAACCTGCTGTGTGAATGGGCAGACATATGGGGAATGTCATTTAATGTTGCTAAATGCAAAATTCTTCATGTTGGACATAATAATCCCAAATATGAATACTTTATGAACGGAATTAAGTTCTCTGAGGTTAAAGTAGAGAAAGATATTGGTGTGAAAGTGTCACCTGATTTAAAACACTCAATACAGTGCCAAGAAGCTGCTAAAACAGCAAATTATATACTTGAAACAATTTCACGCGCATTCCATTTTAGAGATCGTTATGTTTTCCTTAACTTGTATAAACAATATGTGAGATGCCATTTGAAGTTTTTTGTCTCAGCGTGGAGTCCCTGGACAGCTGTAGACAAAGATATACTAGAACGGGTGCAACGTAGAGCCATTAATATGATATCTGGACTGTCTGGTAGAAATTATGAAGATTAACTAAAAGAACTGAGACTTGAATCCCTGGAGAACAGAAGGATCTATATCGACATGCTAAAACTTTTAAGATTATCCGTGGTTTTGATGATGTAGAGAGTAATACATGGTTTAATATAGTCTGATCAGCGGAACATATATTAACTTGTCTAACTGCAGATCCACTAAATATGATGCCCTCGCGATCTAGACTGGAATTGAGGGCCAATTTTTTTAGTGAATGAGTAGTGAATTTATGGAACAGTTTACCGGAAGAAGTTAAAAACGCTAGAAATCATTAAATGGTTAAAACATTTACCGACGATATGGTGGAGACATCGTTTGAGTAAAAATAGTGATATAAATATTTACTCAGTGAATCTACAGACTCTATGCAGATATTCTCGCTGGGGTCTAAAGATTAATTCACCAAATAACCAAAAAAAAAAAATGGGGGGGGGGGAAAAGGTAGAGCTTAACTGGAAAGTTTTTGTCCCCCTTTAGAAACCTCTCACCTCAGAATTAATCATTTCTCTTAAAAACTTAAACACAAATTTTATTCCATAATTCAACAAAAGAAAAAAAACATGTAAACTTTGTGAAAATTGATAGATCATTTAAAATAAAGGATGCAGTCAAACAAAGCCCCTAAGGAAGAAAAATAATAATCTTATATACCTTGAGAGATCGTTAGCATGATATATCAGCTGAACTTACCTTGAGATCGTTATCATGATAGATCTGTTGTATTCTGCCGATCTTGCCAAGAGTAGGACTCATAGCCTCAGCCCACTCACCATGTCCTCTCTAAGAAATCATGGAATAAAATCTCGAGAAAAAAACTAAATAATAAAGTTTAAAGTTAGTTTTAAACCCCTGTAACCTGTAATATTTTCAATCTCTCCATATCTGAACAGATTTGAACCAAGTCCCCAACAGATAACTAAATAATTAATAATAATAAGTAACAATAGTAAAAATAGTTATAAAAGTAATAATAGTAATAAAAGTAAAAATAGTAATAATAGTAATAATAGTAGTAACAGTAATAATGGTAATAGTAGTTATAATAGTAGTAATAGTAATAATAGTAAAAATAGTAACAGTAATAATAGTACCAGTAATAATTGTAATAGTAATAATAGTAATAGTAGAATAGTAACAGTATTAGTAAAAGTAATAATAGTAATAGGAGTAAAAGTAGTAATAGTAGTATTAGAAGTAATAGTAGTAATAGAAGTAATAGTAGTCATAGTAGAAATAATAGTAATAGTAGTAATAGTAGTGATAGTAGTGATAGTAGTGATAGTAGTAATAGTAGTAGTAATAGTACTAATAGTAGTATTAGTAGTATTAGTATTAGTAGTATTAGTAATAATAATCGTAATAGTGATAGTAATAGTAAAAGTAATAGTAATAATAATAGTAATAGAAGTAGTAGTAATAGTAATAGTAGTTATAGTAAAAGTAGTAGTAGTAATAGTATTAGTAGTAATAGTAGTAGTAGTAATAGAAGAATAAGGATAAGGATAAGGATAAGGATAAGGATAAGGATAAGAATAAGAATAAAAATAATAAGAATAATAATCAAATTTATTTTTGAAAATGCGCCAATTTGAAAAGAAAAATATGACAAAATTTGAAAAAGATTTTAAATTGCCGACTTTCAGAGCAACAGTTCAAGGCTTAAACTATTTACAGGAAAGCTTACTTTTGTTTTTAGTCCAAGAAGGATAGAAAACGAACCTGCTGAGGAAGAACTCCTCCTTGTTGAGAGCTGTTGACAGGACTAGGAGGGGATCCTCCTACAGCTCCTAGTACACCAGCAGCACCTAGTACTCCTCCTGCACCCTGGGTAACAGGAGATCCAACCTTAGTTAAAACTGCTGGGTTAAACGTCCACCTGAAATACGGTTTGTTTAAATAAACAACAGGTGGTTTAGGTTTTCTGGAACAGTCTTTAACCTCTTCATCCTCTCTAAAAAATGTTTCCCGTTTAATTAGGCTTTAATGGGGAAAATTTTTGAACATCAGGGGGGGGGAAGAAAAAGAACTTACTCTATCCAACCCCTAACTAACCTATTCCCTGATGAGTAGGATACAACAATATCATGATCTTCATCTATACCGACCACGCTACCGGACTGCCCAAGACACTCAAACATCCCCTCTGTCCAACCACCATGTCCATGTTGAAGATGTTGGACTATCTCTAGTTCTAGATCAACACTTACCAGGTCACCTACCACTAAACCTGACGGAAGGAATTTATATGTTGCATTTTTTATAAATATAACCAACCACCCACATTTAATTATTTGATAAGATAGAGGTGGTTAGCGAGGAAGGGGGTGGGACAAATTATTGAACATCCATTCGCTCCTCTTCTTTCAAAATAATTCTTTCCTTCGCAGATTAGATATGTGTCGGTTTAGGGTCTTTTATCGCAAAAGTGCGGAAAATAATTAATTTAAGGGAAGATGAATGAGAATCAAAAGAGGAAAAACCTATTAATTATTGTGAAGATACTCAGTTTTTTCGCAACTCTTAAAACATCGTTTCCCCTGTCCAAATTCCCTCCTCCCCCCCCTTTTAAACTCATTCATAGATTGCGTCTGCCATGAATTCCTGCCTGTTGGAGCGCTGCGTCCAGGACCTGATTCCCCCAGCAGAGGGAGATGATCACGGTAAACTGATCCTCCCTTAGCATCACTCACAGCTTTCAAATCAGCCATACCTAACAATTCTAAACTGGAAAAAGTTTTCAATATAATCCTTATAATCCATCATAATATTAGAAGTGTTATCAAATTTTGAACGTTATTTCAAGTGTGCTCGATTAAATGTGCATACCCATATCACCAAGATATACTTAAACCTTAATATAAGTAACAATTTATCGTTGTTTGACTATCAATTAAAGTGATATTTAAACAATTTCCTTTTTCCATAAGTCACTTAAATATAGAAAAAATTAAATTCGAAAATTCACAGTTTTAAGAACAAGGAAATCTTTCATTATTTTTGCTCAACCAAATGTTTAGTGGGTACCCTTGTGAATCTAGCTTGTTAAATGGAGTGTTTAGTGGGTACCGATGTGAATAAAGCTTGTTAAATGAAGTGTTTAGTGGGTACCATTGTGAATCTAGCATGTTAAATGGAGTGTTTAACGGGTACCGTTGTGAATCTAGCATGTTAAATGAAGTGTTTAGTGGGTACCATTGTGAATCTAGCTTGTTAAATGGAGTGTTTAGTGGGCACCGTTGTGAATCTAGCTTGTTAAATGGAGTGTTTAGTGGGCACCGTTGTGAATCTAGCTTGTTAAATAGAGTGTTTAGTGGGTACCGGTGTGAATCTAGCATGTTAAATGGAGTGTTTAGTGGGTACCGTTTACCTGATTCCCCCAGCAGAGGGAGATGATCACGGTAAACTGATCCTCCCTTAGCATCACTCACAGCTTTCAAATCAGCCATACCTAACAATTCTATACTGGGAAAGTGTTTTCAATATAATCCTTACAATCATTATAATATTTGAAGTGTTATCAAATTTTAAACGTTATTTCAAGTGAGCTCCATTAAATGTGCATACCCATATCTAGCTTGTTAGTGGGTACTGGTGTGAATCTAGCTTGTTAAATGGAATGTTTAGTGGGTACTGATGTGAATCTAGCTTGTTAAATGGAGTGTTTAGTGAGTACCGACGTGAATCTAGCTTGTTAAATGGAGTGTTTAGTGGATACCGATGTGAATCTATCATGTCAAATGGAGTGTTTATTGGGTACCGATGTAAATCTAACTTGTTAAATGGAGTGTTTGTTGGGTACCGTTGTGAATCTAGCATGTTAAATGGAGTGTTTAGTGGGTACTGATGTGATTCTACCTTGTTAAATGGAGTGTTTAGTGTGTACCGTTGTGAATCTAGCATGTTAAATGGAATGTTTATTGGGTACCGTTGTGAAACGTTCAGTTGAGCAAAATTGATGAAAGATTTCCTTGTTCTTAAAACTGTGAATTTTCGAATTTATTTGTTCTATATTTAAGTGACTGCAGTGTAATAATTAACCAATTAATTGATAGATCATTTAAAATAAAGGATGCAGTCCCATTAGGATGTAACCATTACCTTCAAAGCCGACCCTGTATAGATTCTTAGCTCCAGTATCCCAGATTATATAGGCGGCTGACCGGGGGCTGGCAGCTGACCAGTCCTGTACCTCGGTCACTTTTCCTCGTCTACCATTCCCTCCATCCTATAGAGGTGTCATATCAATTGGACTAATGACCGATTGAACTAACGTTCGGTCGGAAAAATGTTCATTTGGACTAACGTGGACTATGGTCTTTTTTAACAAATATTAGTAGTTGAGCTAATCTTCCAATTTTTAAAAATTCATCCTTTCAAGTATTTTTACAAAAAAAATATGATGTAACCTAAATATTAGAGGGTTAGGTTTGTGAACAGCTGACTTCAGAGCTTAATTGAACGTTAATTTAATCGATATGGCATCCCTACAGATACAATTTCAATTATAATTTAATTATCTATAAAGGCGTTTATTTTTAAGAATTCTTATGGTCTTAGGAAGAAAAATGAAATTTGACTTGTACATTGAACTAACAAGCTCGATTTTAACCATTGTTGACGATCCACATTCCAAAAATTTGCGAGAAAAATGGCAAAAGGCAATAATTTTTGTATAATGCTAATACATTGCTTTCATTTCGCCTTTTCTGTCAACAATTTAAGCTTTTAAATGTTGCATTTCAAGTAACCCGTTTTTATATGAACGTCATAAAACTGGATTGTAAAAAACGCCCTTATTGCTTAGCAAAATCTGTTTTAACCATTCATAAACTAGGTAACCCCAAAAAAACTTGGGTCTGACAAGTTTATTGGATACAAACGGACGTAGAAAACAAAAATATATAAATTCCAGTTATTACCTGGTCCTCCCACTGCCAGTCTACACCCCTGATAACCCTGGCTCCTGGATAAATCCCTCGAACTGGAATCTTCTTACTTTTTCTCCTCGGCTCCAGTAATACACGCTCACTACCAACCGTTGCTATTCGGTAGAACCTACACCAAGGTTGTATAATAAAGATAGATGGTCTAGATGAGCTCTAATGTAGGTAAAGACTGCTTTTATAGCGATTAACACTGTAAATCCTGAAATGACGTCACTGCTTATTTTTAAGAATAATAAATTGTGCGGCTCGTTTAATATAAACGAACTCAAAACTTAAAACTTGAATTATAATTGCACTTTTTAGCTTCAAACTTGTTAGCACACACAATACACTTGCTAAATGTGATGATTGTTAGTTAAGAATCCATGACGTCATAGGAGGATTCAAAGTGTCCATTGCAAAAAAAGACATTTACCTGCATTGGAGCGCATTCAGAGTATTTAACCTTATATACAACCTTGACCTACGATTGTTCTGGGGGTAAAAAAATAACATTCATACAGTCATAATCTCAAAGAACCGGAATTTATTGACAATTAATCAAACCACTTTACAATCGTCTTACATCTTTGCTATTTTGTGATAATCGTTTCCTCAATCATATTTGTAAAATAAGATTGACAAATATGAATGTTGTAAACTATTTCAAAGGCCGAAGACAGTTGTAAAATCGTCCGTTTAATCGTAAATACATACCGGGTCTTTGTGACTGTACAAAGATTTCCAAACTGAAGGGAACTTGTAAAATCTATTGGCCCTAAACAACAATTCAACAATTCACAACGGTAAGTGAACAATTTTTCTTGAAAAAATGCATGATTAATGCCCGGTGTCAGGAGAAAATTTATCTTAAAGGAAAAATAGACGATCTATGCCAAGAGAAAAATAATTAATGAAAAAAAAATGTCTGACCAATAATAAAATGAGTGAAAAAAAGACTTACCGATGCCGGAGATGATGTTTGTCTCCATGGTAACAAAAGGAACACAGATCGTAGTTAGTACACTCTCCACACTTCCATCTAAAACAAGAAGATGTCAGATTAGATTAAAGTTTAACATTTCTCAAAATACATCTTCTCCAACCCCTTACGGCACGGAGAAATAAATTTAGCAGCTTTGGGAAAATGAAAAAATAGGCCATTATTTTTTTACCTGTATGATATTAAAATTTGAATTAAAAGATTTTTAAAAAAGAGGGCAGAGAGCACCCTGAATTAGAAGATAAATAAGAAGACGCAGGGAGCACTCTGAATTAGAAGATAAATAAGAAGAGGCAGGGAGCACCCTGAATTAGAAGATAATAAGAAGAGGCAGGGAGCACCCTGAATTAGAAGATAAATAAAAAGAGGGCAGGGAGCACCCTGAATTAGAACATAAATAAGAAGAGGGCAGAGAGCACCCTGAATTAAAAGATAAAAGAAGAGGGCAGGGAGCACCCTGAATTAGAAGATAAAAAAGAAGAGGCAGTAAGCACTAAGCACCCCGAATTAAAAGATAAAAGAAGAGGGCAGGGAACACCCTTGATTAGAAGATTTAAAAGAAGATCGAGGGCAGGGAACACCCTGAATTAGAAGATAAAAAAGATGAGGCAGTAAGCACCCTGAATTAAAAGATAGAAGAAGAGGGCAGGGAACACCCTGGATTAGAAGATTTAAAAAAAGAGGGCAGGGAACACCCTGGATTAGAAGATAAAAAAGAAGAGGCAGTAAGCACCCTGAATTAGAAGATAAAAAAGAAAAGGGGAGGAGGGAGCACCCTGAATTAGAAGATATTCACCTAATACCAAATATTGGTTGCTGTCGACATGTATCACACATTGTTCCGTCATGTTTACTTCCAGTGGGAGCACTGTCCAGAATACGCAGATCAAAGGCACCGGAACATCTTAAAATATTTTCAATGGAAAAAATACAAATTTTAAGTAATATTTAGCAACACCATTACCATTGCCATTGCCACTGTCATTGTCATTGTCAGTCAAGCATCCAATTAATCAGGCAATCTAACTATCAATCAATCAATCATTTTTCTGATAGTTTCTTGAAAGAAACGAGAAGAATAGAGATGTTTTTTCAATTATAAAAACACTAGGCTTTTAGTACGCGAACAACTTCTAGATGTGGCTCTATCTGCATGTGAGCATCTTTTCCTTGTACAGCATAAAAAAAAAACAAGTTTGCAAATTTAATGATATTTTTTCAAGGATTTTCAAACAAATTTTAAAAATCTAAAATTTTGGATACAACTTTTTGAAATTCTGTGCATTCATAAACCCCACAAATAAAAATTTGTCGTTTTAAAGTTTGTTTGATGCAAACGGACAGGCAAGCAAAGTTCTATAGAATCATAGAAAATCGATGTTGCACTAACCTATAATTAGCTGCTGTTCCATTGTCCCAGACAACAACAACCTCCTCTACACTCTCAAAATTTCTTAACAGTCTCATATTCGTGAAGAATCAGTGACGTATATTTTCTTGGAAACCAGTTACCACCCGCCGCACCACCCATCTCTATTCAAATATCTTTTTATATACCCAGAATGGTTTTTATGTTTTTTTTTTTGCTAAATGGAGAAAAACTAATGATTTCTTGGTTTTCATCAGAAAGAGGGACAAACCTTCAAGTTCATTTTCATTTGTAGAAGTTAATGCTTTAAGAAATCTTTTTAGATTGAAAGCAGTTAATCTAATTGTCGGTGATTTTATCAGTGCATCACATTCGTGCGACCTCATTCGTGTCTCCTTTTAATAAGAGAAACAAAACGAGAGAATGTATCTTATTAAATAAAAGAATGGAAAGGAAAATTGCAGAAACAAATTAATATATTTCTTGAATATATTCCTAACAGTGCCAACATGTCCTTCGCCTCCGTCCTGTTTACCCCATTTCCAGTCTGGCCCCCTGAACAAGATAAAATGCAATCCATCAACAAAGTTTTATATTTATAAATATATTTTTAGAATCAAATCGATTCATTTTAAACTGTTATCCGAAAAATGTTAAGATGTAATATCTAATAATATTCAAAAACCAGTTATTTTGGACAAAAAAGTTACTTTAGCTGCCAAAAGATAATTTATTGAAAAAAGTTAAACCAAAAGTTACTTGTAATAAAAGAAAACATTAAAGGAAATGTACTAAAGACTAAGATAAATTAGACAAATTTAAGGAAGAGGAAACGTTCATTATGAATTGGACACGATATTGCTAAGCCCTAACATGGTTAAGTGATGGGTAGGGTGAGGGGGCGGGTTAATGGGAGGGGGGGGGGGGGGTGTAACAACCCCTTGCCCTGAGAAAGCTAAATTTCACCTGACAACTCTACTTCCTACGCCCTCCATCATCAGCCTTGCTGTTCTGCTACTACCACCTCCACCAGCCCCTTACAAATGAAAAATAAATAAAAACATTGATATTGTATTATTTGACACTACTCAAATATTAGGTCTTTTTGATTTTTCGAATTGTACAAAAAATCTGATCATTTTATGTTTTTCCTTGACCAAATATTGTCTAATTCACATTGAGAACTAAATATAATGTACGTGTACATTTAAGAAAAATAAATGCAAGAGCAAAAATTAGCTTGGTTTGTAGGTTATTTAGCTTTATGTGCAAAAAGAAATATATGCAAAAAGCCCATTTAAGTTTTTCCCATGGTCAGACTTAGAGATAGAGTTCTCAAAACATCTATAAATTATCTTACAATCATGATAAACAGATTTGGTAATTCGTTTAGTAAATGCCTGTTGGGTTTTTACTATTTTCTACAAAATCAATCCATAAGTGTTACGATTATGGCCTTTTCAGGCTAAAAACAGGAAATATAACTTTTATCTTTGCCTCTCATTCAAAAGATATATGCTGATCAAAATGGCGAATTTGTTTATCATGGCTTTAAGATAATTTACAAACGTTTTAAAAAAGTTCCATCACTAAAGCTCACCGTAGGAGAAGCTGAAATGTACTTTTTAAAGATATTTCTATTATGTTTGATGAATCTAAAAGACAGCCAGTATTTGAGTAGTGTTAAATACATTTCATGCAACAAAACTTTTTTTGAAAAAAACTAAATAGTATAGATGGAAACTCAAACAATAGCAATTATTAAAATGCATAAACCAACAGAATTTACAGACCTTGATTTTGAGCATTTTGTGGGACCGAGTTGGCCGGCGCTCCAGCTCCGGTAGAGTTGGATTGATCTCCGGCCATATTTGGAAATGAGATTACTAGGCCGGCCCAGAAACCAATTTAGTTTAATTCTTCAACATCTGGAAAAATTATGGCATCCACATATAAAGCCGCCATTTATTCGTAGTTTCCTAATTTCTTAAACTTGGACGGACCCGATGCTGCCATTGCTATAAAAGAACCAACAGAAACGATTAGATGACAACTATCCAAATAAAACAATATAGCTGTAAACAACCTTAATTTAAAGAAAATTATCCACTGCTTAATTTTAAGTTCAATAAATGCGATATAATGAGCATTTTGACTTAAGTTTCCCAGCTTTCGATCAAAAAATTTCACGCTACTGGGGAAATGACCGCGGTATTAAGCAATATGGCAGGATGCAACTAAAAGTAGAAAGAAAGGAGATGTGGCAACTATAATTATTAAGGTCAGAAACCAGAGCTGGTAACTGGTGGATGTCGAGATTAATACTTAATCCTCTCTTTTTCTTAATTCGAGACCAACCTGATCTTGGACTTGTATCCGGAAGAGTGTATAAAATACAACATCAGAGGAATCAGAGTTACGTATAAGTAACCAATAAATTTGAAATTTTGCGCGCCATTTAAGATATAACATACAGAAACGGTTTATGATTATTCTCTACTATATCCATTATCCAAGAAAGAGAGGTTTAATAAGAAAATCATTCAATTAAGTGTGTTTATTTGGATATACTCAGATTAAGATCTCAATTAAGGATATCTCATTCTAAAGTATTCAGCGAGTTCAGCTTGCAGTTTAAAGATCTGTAATCTAATACACTACACAGCATACTGAACTGCCTACTGGTTCAGTTCATCCTAGACTACTATAATTCAGAAGTACATATTTAAAACACAAATGCAACGGTAAAAACACAATAAAAAGTTTAAACTTTTGGAAAAATCAACAATGATTCAACATATAGATTAATTGTTTAATAGAAAAATCATGAAAAATTTAAACAAATTTGCAAAATTTCTATAAATTTTCTTTACTCCTGGCCTCTTTTTCACCAAATTAGGCATCTAATTACAATATGTTTGTACTATAAATCTATTGAACGATTTTTCAGAATGATGTATATGATGGTTCCATATCAGGATTCCTCTCATGCAGAATTCTTCCCACAGGATTCCTTCCATGCATTCCTCCCACCAGGATTCCTCTCACACAGGATCAGGGGCGTACGAGGGCTTTTATTTAGGGGGGGGGGCACAATTTGCCCCCCCTCCCACCTGGACTTGTTTTGTTCGCCATAAAAAGACTACATTTTTGGGTGCTACTAAAAATTATTCCTTTGCTTGAAAAACTAACTTTTTGACTTCATAAATTTATCACTTAACTCCATCACAGCTAACTAAATCAATAATCACAGCATCATTAAAAATTATATTTTTACTAATAAACGAAATTTCTTCTGAAATTTTTAGATAGAATTTACTCAATCTACATATTCACCAACTCTTTTAAGCTACAATTTTTCGGGATTTGCTTGCACAAACATTTCAATGATTTTTTTCAGTAGAGAGCTCAGACAGCCTTATATAGGGTGTAAAGCTATAAGTGCAAGATCGTTAAGTCTGCTCTCCGTCATAGTACATCTTGTGTAATGAAGTATTCTCTTTAGAAGGCTAAAACTTTTCTCTCCTTGAATTAACAGTGAATTTAGACAAATCCTTAGTCTTTGTCAATGTCAGGTGTTACTTTCTAAACGTAGTTTCCTTTTAATTTTATTTTTGGAACTCCCAGGGGGGGCAAGAGGACTACTAACCCCCTTAGGTACACCCCTGTGCCTGACCTTAGGAAAGGAAATGCAATCAGATGTAATATTAAAAGAGCCTCCCCCATGGGTGCCCCCCCTCTGCCTCTCAGGGAGGGGGCACGCGTAGAGGGGGACGGGGGGGTGCGGCCCCCCCCTCGTACGCCCCTGCACAGGATTCCTCCCCCATATGGGATTCCTCCAGCATGAGATTCCTCCTACAGGATTCCTCCCACACAGGATTCCTACCACAGGATTCCTCAAACACGGGATTCCTCCCAAACAGAATTCCTCTCATTGAATTCCTCCCACACGACCCACACAGAATTCATCCCACTGAATACAGTGTAAATATAAGTGTATATATTTTAATACTTCCAATTGAAGCATTTGTTCTTCCTTTAATTTTGACATTTTTATCTTTCCCTGTACATTTTCAATTCATTGTTATTTTAAACAGACCCATATAGCCAGGATTTTACCATGGGGGTGCAATTATGTCGTGCCGCAATATTGGGGGGGTTTTTAATGACTTTTCAAACAATGTTTGGTTTGGTTTTACAGTGGTATATGCAAATGGTATATGGTTGTTTTTATTACATTGTCAATGCACACTATAAAGGCTAACCTTTTTAACAAGTGTATTTGAGCTTTTAAGGGAGTACTGCTTAGTGCTTAACTACCAGAGTCAAGTAATCTTTTATTACTTTGACTTTGCAATATGAAAATTATATGATCTTAATTCTTATTCATTTAAAAAAAAGCTTTTCAAGGGTCAAGTGGGTGCTATGGAAACGCCTCACCACAGAAATGCCTCAAAAAAACAGACTCATAAAACATAGCACACCGGTCAAGGGGGGGGGCTAAAAGTCTGAAAGTGTACAGGAGATAACCATTTCATTTCCATGGGACACTATGCATATAATTGATAAATCATACTGTTGTAATTAGACTTAAACAACTATTAAATGACTATGAGTAATTTTTGATGTTGTGTTATATTTAATCAACAGAGTACTGTACTGATCAACTGTTAGTTAGTTAGTTGCGATAGGTCACAGGAGAGACATGACTCAGGGCATGAGTTGAGAGAGTACACAAAATCTACGTCACAATTTTAATGAGTAACGCACAAATTTGGAAATCAATTCTTACTCGGGCTATATAATTTATAACTAGATTTTAGAAACTTATGAAAAATTTCTTTTATATGGGACTAGGGAGAGGGGTATTGGTGTAAACTGCCCCAAAATCAAAATTTGGGTAATATGTCAATATATCCGTGCGTTTGTGCGTTATCTTTTCTTTTATTTGTGATAATCTTGAATCAAAATAAAATCAGCAATCCATGTTTTTCCTTGCGCCAGTGCATTTTCAATCAA